GCATCCGAAGAAGTGGGCTGTAGCCCACGAAAGCTTATGCTCAAATAAATTTGTTAGTCTCTAAGGTGCCACAAGTACTCCTGTTCTTTTTGCGGATACAGACTAACACGGCTGCTGCTCTGAAACCTAAAAACTCTTAAAGATTCTAAGATAGGACACATTTGTGGAAGAATGTAGGGCCCAAACCTGCGTGCCCTGTACAACTAGACCTCCCACGCTGAAATCAGTACAAGTTTGGAGTGTCTGGGGAATGCAAAATCAAGCCTCTTTTTCTGGAACCATTGGCATCATTAGTGAAGCTCAGGAAGGTATTTAAATCCAAATGTTACGTTTTAGCGTATCCATTTCAGGGTTTAATAGAAACATTTCGAGTTTTGTTTTTAAAAAGAAAGTTGAGCAAATGCCATTTTATAATGATCAAATATGCTTCCACAAAGGGTAAAATCCTATTCCAGCTATTCCCATGAGGAATCCCAGTGAGGCCAAAGGGACATGTTGTTCAGGTGAGCAGAATTTGGCCCAAAGTTTGGAAACAAAACTTCATGCTGGGTCAGTGTGTATGGGGGTAGATACAGTTCAGAAGCATTTATCTGACCCCAAGCACCATCTGAGCGTTCAGTCTTCCAGTGAAATGGGACCCATATCCAAGCCACCCTCTTTGATTTTGGTTTACAAAACCAAATCACTGCCGAGGTGTTGCAATAGCAAACCCAGCTAAAGTGTAAGTTATAGGTGAACTAACCTGTGTAGGTGCAGTGACCAGATCCTATGTTGTCAGAATGGAAAGTGAGCTTAGATGGAATATCTAGTCCATGAGGTTTGGTTTGGTTTGGTTTGGTTTCCTTATTTAGACCCTTACTGCTAAAACTGCCTGTGACTTATTTTCTTTCATTTTGTCTGAATTGCTTTTCAGAGTGTTTTGCTTTTTTTATATTATGATTGATTTTCTATCATAGTCAGTTGTGCATATTGATAAAACTGTTCATGGCCTGTTTTGAGACAACGCTGTATTTAAAGAGAAATCAACATCTATTAGCCTTCAAACCCATGCAGTAAGCATACACATCCCCCTTGTGTTCAGATACTATGTAATAAAATAGTAGGCCCAAAATATAGCACGATTCAGTTATTATGCAACTCTGTTTCACTTTCAGCACTTCGAACCTACAAAGTGCTGTGAAAGTGCCGTGAAGCATTTAGCCTCATTCCCTTTAATTTTACTATTTACGCATGCTAAAAAGAAATACCCCTTTTTTCCCCCAATGCTACTTTTAATTCAGACCCAAAAAAAATCATCATACATTTAAATTGGTGATGGGACTTGCATGGAAAATGTGGTCTGAATCTAAACTATTTCCAAGTTTGGGGCTGTTTTGACCTAGGGGAAGGGTCTGTCCTGTTATAGAGATAGCAGCTTTGCTGCAAAAGTTGAGATTCAAAGTTCTGGGGACAGATTCTCAGCTGATGTTATTATTTCAATGGGCCCATAACAGTTTGCACCAGATGAGGCTCTTCTCCTTGGGCTTCTTAGGTGTGAAATTTCAGTTGGGAACCATCTCTAACTTAAATAGTAAAAAAATATTTAAAAATCCTCTTCAAAACTTAAACCTTGTTCTTCTTATGGATAAATGATTATGTATCTATACAGGATGAACTGGCATCTTTGAAAGAAAAATTGGAACAGAAGGAAGCAGAAGTAAGAAAGTTACAAGAAAAATTGGTGTGCAAGATGAAAGGAGAAGAAGTTGAAATAACGGACAGAGGTAAGAACAAAGGAGGCTCTCGGTTAAGTAGAGGTTTCTAGAGGTCTCTCTTGCACAGTTGTAGTTATGCCTTACCTGTTTTAAATAATTGTCAATTGTTATAAGGGAATCATTGTTTTAAAACCTCAGTTTCGTCACACATTTTGCCAGCATGTTTATTCCTCTTAACATATTCTGCGAGTATTCACAAAGCAATCATAAAACCTACAATAATAGGTTGTTGATTTGCTTTAAAATAAGGTGACCAAGTGTTTACAACTCTGAGGCCCTGTCTACACTAGAAAGGGTTTGCTGGGAATACCCCAGAACCCCATGGACAAAGCTTGTAACTGCAAAAGTATAGTTTACTGCTCTAATGGAGTAAGTTACACTAGCAAAAGGACTTTTTGTATAACTGCATCTATGTTGGGACTTGGCATAACTAAGTCGGTTAGAGGTAAAGGAAGAAAAGCACTCCCCTGACCAATAGACCAGTGCTGATAGGGTTGCCAGCTCTGACCAAAGCTGTTCCAGATTGCCCCCTCCCCCCCCAAATATGACGTAATGTCATTTTCTTAAAATATCCTATTAAAATCTCCTGGATTGCTTTCAGTAGTCACTGGGAGATCAATGCCAATTCTGGGAGACTGCCAATCCTGGAGAGTTGGCAACCCTGGGTGCTGACAAAAATTTTAAGTGTAGAGCAGGCCTAATTGGGTGAAATTCAGAATGTGCACAAGGCCTACATACACTACTTGGAAGTCCCACTTAAACCCTATCGGAGTCCTACTTAAACCTGAATTTTCACGGAGAATTTTCATTGTGGTCAACATTTTCCAGTTTCTCAGTGAAAAACTGGAAACCCAAACCTTTTAAAGAAAATTTTTAAAAATCGGTTATGGGGGTTTTCTCAAAAGGTTATGGGATTTTAAAAAGATTTTTTTTTCTTCAAAATTCGCCACAAAAAAAATTGACATTTTCTGACCAGCTCTCGCTTTACTTCTCAGCAACATACACCTGCTGTAGTCAGTCTTAAGATTATTGAGATTCCATTATTTTTGTAAAATATGCTTCATTACATTTGCTAGACTAGTGTAAAGTATTATTTTACTACAAATAAATAAAAATAACTGGACTTCAGTTGCCAAAATGAATGTATAAAATACATTGTGTGCATTATCCTTGCAATTTTTGTTTGTTCACTTACTAATTTACTAATGTTTATTTTTATTGCATTTATTACTCATATTGAGCTTTTTCCTGGAAGGTGCCAAGCATCCTCAACTTCCATGCTCCCTTTGACTTATGGTACTGAGCCATAATTTGCATAGTTCAGTTGCACACAGGGGTCTCCCATTCATTACTGTGAATGAACCAAGGTTCTGTTATGTTTGGAAAACATTAAAGAATGCCCTTTTTGCAATAAATGCAATTGAAATATTTGCAGAGTATCTGCCATGTTTGCAGATTTATACTTACCTGAGCAATCATATTCTGTTATCTACTATTAGTTGTTAGTACAAGTGTAATATATTTCATGTCTAGTATTATGGTAAGAGGAGTCTGTTGGGATAAGTACTATATGAGACAATGTATGTGAAAACATGCAGGCGGGAAAAAATACTGAGGCCTTGTATAAGACTCTCAGGCCAGAGCCCTTAGAAAGTGATCCTGTTTGGCTTCAGCAGGTGAGTAGGGAGTACTTGTGTGAAAGTTTGTAGGACTGGGCCCTTAAATTGTAAATGTTTGTTTTACTCTTGTCCGAGGGTAAGGAATGATTCATTGATGACTCCAACAGTAACAGCGTATAATGTTAAATGGTATTTAATGTCATAACCTGTATGCTAATTTCAAATCCACTGGGTTTTCCTGCACAGATGAAAATTGTAAAAAGAAGCTCAAAGACAAAAGTAAGGTTTCCTGGTGTCTTTCCACAAGCATTTATACTTCAGAAATTCTGAATATAGCTTTCTGCATGTGTTTTTAAAACTGCTTTAACAGAAGCTGTTAGATTGCCTCATCTATAAGCCTCAGTTACATTATTAGAAATGAAGGGAGATTTCAATAGGCTGTGACTTTTAATGTGAATCTTTATTGAAAATCTAGTAAACAAAATCTTTGGCTTCCTGAAGCAGCCTGCGAGAGGGAGTTTGCTATACTTGTTCATTTCTAGGTGCTTTACACGCCTGCTAGATATGGCTCATTGTAGAAAGGCTTGTAAGAAATTAAATTGATCCTGCTAAGAAGTACTTTTACAGATTGTTGAATAGATAGATTTTTCTTCATAAAAGGCACATATAAGTAAAAAATATCCCTCTATGTTAAGTGCAGTCACAATATAGTAGGCCAAATTCTGTGCTGGCAAAACTCGACTGAAGTCAGCGGAGTTGCACCAGCAGAGAATTTGAATATCTGACTTTAAATAGCTGTATTTATCATGCACAGGATGATATATTTTATACATCTTTCTTTGGTCTTACGTTTTGCTGAGGAAGAACTTTCTTCACCCCTTCAGCAGTAATCCTTGGTTATATTTGTTGGTGTGCGATAATCAGTAGCGGATTAAAACACTAATCTGTGATGTTACAAAGCAGAATTTTTGCTTGATCATCCTTTTGATCACTCATCCACATTTGTAACATATCTAATTTTAAAGCTGCATTTGCTCATTCAAAGTAGATAGATTTCTAATAGAAACAAAGAACATCCCCACCTCTTAAAAAAACAAATAAAAACCCGTCTTTTTACATTTTTACATTATGGCGTTTACATATTTTGTAAGTGAGGATTATAGATGAAGCACAGTTTGTACTCATCTCTATTTTAAGGATCCTTTTCCACGTCTAAACTACAACACACATTCTAGCATGACTGCTCTTCACAGTGAATACATATACCATTCCATCATGCTGTTCTCATCCATTCTGGGCTATGACTAAGCCTCATGACACAATGCTTTTCTCACCATGTCCCACAATCCATTGCTTAATTCCATTGCTTTGTATAGCTGGGTTGATAAAATGCCCTATGGAATGTTTGGCTGTTATCATAATGAAGGACTGTTTTATTGCACTCCTGTTGTAATGTTTTTATTTTGGAGCTCTTCATTATAATTATTCCATTATTTAAAGGATTGAAATAACACAGGAAAGGATCACTGATTGATTTAGCAGTTTTCTTAGGATTGTTTAGGATCTGAATATTTGCTAAATTCAGTCATTTAGTTGTTGAAAACTGCTTCCATAGAGAGAATGTTGTGAATCTTGCTTTCCATTTCAGATTGAAATAATTTTAGTGGTTTGCATTTTGTTTGTTTATTTCTTGTAAACATAGATTCAGAAATTGTCAGGATGTTTTCTTTCTCCCATTTACTTTCTCATTTAATCTGACTTGTGCAATTGTGTTGTGTATTTTTAGATATAGAGGTACAGAAAATGAAGAAGGCTGTGGAGTCTCTAATGGCAGCGAATGAAGAAAAGGTAGCAAAACAGTCATTAGTTCAGCATTCGTTCATTGTGTGAAGTTACACCTCTAGTAGGATCAGCACATATGGGCATCATGTAAATTTTTACATTTTGAAGATTAATTAGTAAGGGTTCAATTTTGTTCTCATTGAAGTCAATAGGTGTATTGCAATTGCTTCAAATAGGCACTTAAAAGTTGTATAGTGCAAATCTTGTCCACGCAAGTAATCCTTACTCACACCAGTAGTGCCACTGAGTTCAGTGGGACTACTCGCATGAGTAAAGGTTTGCGGCTCAAGACCTATCTTGTAAAGTGCTTTGAAAATGTAAAGCTCTACATATAAGTGCCATGAACTATTATGGGCCAAATATGAAAAGGAGCTTTCTATAAAGTATATAGCACCTGTGGAATATGGATGCACTCCATTCGCAGATGCACATATCTTTTTATGTATACATATGAGTTTGTGTAAATTTTGCAGATGTCTTTTGAGAATTTGGCCCTACTAGTCATCTAAGCCTCTAAATCAATAGTCTGCGTATCCTCTTTTTTAAAAAATGGCAGAGGGTATGCTAACTATATATAGAAAGAAAGAAAACTAAAACACGATGTTTTTTATATATATACAGTAACTCCTCACTTAACGTTGTAGTTATGTTCCTGAAAAATGCGACTTTAAGTAAGTGAAACGCTGTTAAGCGAATCCAATTTCCCCATAAGAATTAATGTAAATGAGGGGGTTAGGTTCCAGGGACATTTTTTTCACCAGACAAAAGACATACATACATATATATATATATATATATATAAAAAATACACACAGACACACACACACAGAGTAAGTTTTAAACAAAAAATTTAATACTGGTACACAGTGATGATGATTGTGAAGCTTGGTTGAGGTGGAGGAGTCAGAGGGTGGGATATTTCCCATGGAATGCCTTACTGCTAAATGATGATCTAGCAATTGGCTGAGCCCTCAAGGGTTAACTCTCACACTCTACAAGGCAGCAGGAATGGAAGGAGGGGCGATAGCATCACAGACAGAGACACACACTGTGTGTGTGTGTGAGAGAGAGATGCGCATTTCCCCTTTAAGTACACTGCCTTGTTAATTAGATCAGCTTGCTGAGACTGCAGCTGCTGCCAGCAAGCTCCCTCCATCCTGAGCCCTGTCGTGTGTCCCCCCTGTTCTATGGAAGATGGGGTAAGCAGGGTGCAGGAGTAGGGGGGAGGGGGACACCCTGACGGCCCTCCTCTTCTTCTCCTCTTCCCCACACAGCAAGCAGGAGTCTTGGGGAGCAGCTCCAAGGCAGACGGCAGGAGCAGCACATGGCAGTGGGGGGAGGGACAGCTGAACTGCCAGCAATTGATAGCCTGCTGGGCAGCTGCTGCACAGGAAACTTAAGCGAGCGGGGAACTGACGGGGGGAGCTGATAGTGGGGCTGCTGGTCCACCCTGGTTCCAAGCCCCCCCCCCCAGCTAGCTGCAATGAGCTGCTCTTCCTGCAAGCAGTGGACAAAGCAGGCGGCTGCCAAACGACGTTAGAAGGGACCATTGCACAACTTTAAACGAGAATGTTCCCTAATTGATCAGCAACGAAACAATGTTAACTGGGATAACTTTAAATGAGGAGTTACTGTATATATAAAATATGGTGTTTAGTTTTCTTTTGGAGAGGGGATGCTGCTGCAAAATTTGAGATCCACCTTAAAGTTTGGGGGTGTTTGAATCCTCTGTATTTAGATCCTGAGTTTTGGTTATGTCCTTTGTAGAGAAACCAGTTTTCACCAAATATAAATCCAGGTTTATATTTCCAGCACTCTTCAAGCTCTGAGCTTTTATCCTCCTCTCTTTTCTTTAAATCTGTTAGACAATTTAATTTATTTAGGTTTTTATTTCTTATTTTTGACTCTTCATAAAAGAAATCAGTCATAAGATGGATCCTTCCTTTGTTTTAGGATCGGAAGATAGAAGAGCTGCGACAATCCCTGAATCGGTATAAGAAAGTGCAAGACATGGTAATATTGGCTCAGGGGAAAAAAGGTACAGTGCAAGTACAAAGATTTCCCACATTGCTAGCATTTAAACTGCACACATTTAGGGTGCCTGACGCTTTCCATTTTAAAAGATTCTTGTGACTTTTTTTTTTTTTTTTTTTTTGAGAAGCTCTGTCACCTCCATCGATTGCCACAGGCCTTTGAAATTCAGCAAAGGGAAAGTCCTTGGGCTAGAGAAGTTCCTTTTCTTTGTCCCATGAAATTCGATCGAGGTTTAACTGTTAAAAATAACCATTCACCCTCTCTTGCTTGCATTCCTTAGGGAGAATTGGTAGCCTGCCAAAATAATAACCAGACATGAACATTCTAAAGAGCTGAGCTTACCACCACCACCACCACCGGAGCAGCATCACACATTGCACTGGGAAAGTCTGAGAGCTGCTAGAGCAACTGTAGCAATAGGCGATGGGCAGGAGAGAGCCAGGCTTAGGCTCTCCTCATCCTCATCACATCCTCTGGAGCCAGCCTGTGGCCTCAGGATCACATCCTCCCTCTGAAGGACATGACTTAGAACAAGAGCCCTCCTCCCCTGCGCGCGCACACACACACACACACCCCTCTTCTGTGGGATGGGAAGGGAGAAGGAACCAGGCTGAAGGTGACCCCAACGAGCATCCTAAGGCTTACAAAAATTGGGGATTTCTAAGGTTGCTGGGGGTGGGACTTGGGAGGCCCCACTGAGACTCTCAGTTAGTGAAGATTGGCACTGGACAGGGGGCAGAATAGCTAACTCATGTCACTGCAGGGTTCAGGTTTTTCAGTCCCTGTGAGAGTTCCTGGGTAGGGCCTGGATGGCAAAGGGAGCGGGGGGGGAGAAGTTCATCACTCTACATGTTAGGTACCAGTGATGGATTTTGATCACGTTTAAAATGTGCAAACAGAGTAAAGTCCAGACCAGTGATAAATATACGTGGTGCTTTAATAGGGCCAGTTTCACAAAGCTGAAAACAATTATGAGCCAGATCAGCCAGGAGGAACAAATTAATCAGAAAAATGTGACTCATAATTTGGGAATCATTTAAGACACCTTACAAGATGCCCCAAAAGCCACAATTGCAGAAGGCGGCCATGCTGGTTTAAAAAAACACCTGGTTTAGAGGGGAAGAAAAAGCAGCTATATATATATATATATATATATATATTGTGACAAAGTTCCTCCTCTATCTTGGTGGGTCCTGTGCTTATTGGTGGATTTTCTTGCCTCAGAGGTTCACCATGTGGGTTGGGGAACAGCCCAGAGACCTTCCCTTCTGGAAGAACCCACAGTCCAGGTCAATTGGGAGGCTTGGGGGGAACCCGGGCCCGCCCTCTACTCCGGGTTCCAGCCCAGGGCCCTGTGGACTGCAGCTGTCTATAGTGCCTCCTGTAACAGCTGCATGACAGCTACAGCTCCCTGGGCTACTTCCCCATGGCCGCCTCCAAACACCTTCCTTATTCTCACCACAGGACCTTCCTCCTGGTGTCTGATAACGCTTGTGCTCCTCAGTCCTCCAGCAGCACACCCTCTCAGCTCCTTGCGCCTCTTGCTCCCAGCTCCTCACACTCGCACCACAAACTGAAGTGAGCTCCTTTTAAAACCCAGGTGCCCTGATTAGCCTGCCTTAATTGATTCTAGCAGCTTCTTCTTAATTGGCTCCAGGTGTCCTAATTAGCCTGCCTGCCTTAACTGGTTCTAGAAGGTTCCTGATTACTCTAGTGCAGCCCCTGCTCTGGTCACTCAGGGAACAGAAAACTACTCATCCAGTGACCAGTATATTTGCCCTCTACCAGACTCCTGTACCCCACTGGTCTGGGTCTGTCACAATATATATAAAAACAAATGGAAGAAAGGGGAAGTTTATAGTAATGAATATAAATCATAAGTTAGGAATTGTAGAAAATGGATAAGGGAAGCAAAGGAATCAAGGGGAAATGTGTGGCCAATAGAGTTAAGGACAATATGTCAGGCTCTGGGTTCTAGGCGGGTGAGGCCTACTGGTTGAAGCTTTGGCCGAGAACAGGCACCAAGGGTCGAATCCAGCCGTAGAGTTGGGACTGGACCGAGGGCAGCGCTGAAACTGTGGTCTGGGACAGGCTGTGGTCAGAACCAAGGTCAAAGTCTGTAGACTAGCCAAATCAGTGTTACAGTCGGACTCCTGATGCAGGCCAAAGGTCAAATCTGGGTTAGAGTCAGTCTGTGGGGTCCGGAGGCAGGTGCAGGGCTGGTGCAAGGTGGGGTTTAGGGCCTGGAAAAGGCTGGAGAGGGCTGGAATAAGGCTCAGGCAAGGCTGGGGCAGGAACAGGAACCGGATCAAAGGCAGGCTGGAAGCCTGGGGAGTCTGTAACACTGCAAGGCAGCGGGAGGGTTCCTGACCAAGTAGTGCTGTTGCACAGGCTAACTTGCAACTTTGGAGGGGGTCAGTGAAATACCTGTGCCTGGGGATCCTCTGACCCGGGCCTGCCCAGGGATAGACTGCAAAGCCTGTGAGTTAGCAGCAGGATGGGTAGGGGGACTCTTCCCCTCCCCTCTACCCCCCACATTTTGTTGACTCGAAAGCCACCTGCAACCTCACTTCCACAAGCCTTAGGAGGAGAGTCCCACCCATTAGGAAATAGACTGGAGGGAAGTCTCACTACTGTGCTGTTCCTAAGCGCTGCAGAAAAGGAGCCCTCACCCGGAGGACTTCCAGAGATTCATAGGAATTGGATCTTACGAAGTCAACACAGGATGGTGGGTGGGGACTGTGATTTGCAGGATACTCTGTGGCCAACAGAATAAGGGGGCATCTCCCTATCTTCCTAAGAGCTGTTGGATCTCCTGGCCCCCAAAGGGTTCGTAGGAGCAAGACTCCTCCCCAGCAGCTCCTAGGACCATTTTTAAAGAAAAGAGAGAAATTCCCGCACAAAACTTTCATGAAGGTGAAGATAGAGTGGCAGGAGGGTGTTTGTGGTTTGAGTGCATTTGACCTTTCCAAATACTGGAGTTAAATACAAATCAAAAACTCAGTGTTAAGGTTTCATTTTTGAAGTAAGGCACCCAAACTACCTTAGCTCTGCCCCTGTTGCAATGCACTAAGGAAAATCACCAGTTCGTGCTGCCTTAGCCACCCATAAGAAGCAGTTGCATTATATCAATGATCACTGAAATGCCTTCCTATTAATCATATAGTGAGTGTGCTGCTTTACATCATTATCGTCCTACGTAATACACATCGAAGCACTTTTACAAATTCCTGTTTAGACAAGTTGCATGGTAAAAGCAATCATTCCCCACTTACTGAGAGCCTGACCCTAAGCCCACTGAAGTCAATAGCAGTCATTCCATTGACCTCAGTGGGCTTCGGATCAGGATGTAAGAGCATGATCTTTCCTGGAGCTGAGAGCACTCAACTCCTCATGGTGGGCAATTTATTTACTAGTGTCATTGACCCCAGCTTGCATGTCACTATATACAAACTTCATATGCCTACGTCATGAAATTTGAGCATGTACGTGAAAAGAGCAAAGGTTGGTATGACAGAGCAACCTATTTAATAGTGGGGACACAGAGAGAGAGAGAGGCCTTGAAGCCAAGGTTCAGTGGTGTACATTTGTGATACTTTACATGCCACAGGAAATGATAAAAGTGTATTTTATTTCTTGTATGCTTCACAGAACACAGACAATGTTTTCGGCTAGAGAAAAAGGGGCAGTAAGGTTGAGATTTTACTTTGACAATAAATTATAGGTTCTAGAAACACAGCGCTGTGAATGCCCCAATGCTTTTTCTTGTCATTGTCAGTCATGTGGTACTTTGGTATTGATCAGAAGTGTAGAAATCCATACCTTTCAATATGACTGAACCAGTTAAAGAATGGCAACGCTGTCAGTGGAAAGCAGACTATACAAACTCTAACATGGTAGGGAATTGGCAGACTGAGACACCATTGATTTGTGGCACTGTACAAACTGTCAGGGAATTTTTTTTTCTTATTTAGAAGCTAGCACCGTAATTTATTTTGACTGTTCTTTTTCCAGTTATTTACGGCTTTGAGCTTTGTTCACCATTTTGGCTCAGATGGCACAACGGAGACAGATTTTGATTCTTCATCTTACATTTGGGACAAACATGTCGGCTTCTTTTTGGTGCAGTGAGGATGGGAAAAGAAACGTCTCTGTGCAGTGTTTTGGAATTTGATGCATTAATGAACACCAAGAATGTTCAACATGTTGAAAAGGAACCCACTGAAATGCTCATGTGGAGGGAGTGGGTTTCTGCTGTTGTAATTAAGAAATAGAATTGCATGAGCAGGATGCTTCCGTCCACTGTGGCTCTTTGATGCTGCTACAGTTGCGTAAATGAGTCATTAGACAACTGGACCCAGCTAGGGGAAAGTTCCCCCAGCTCAGGGTTGTATGAGCTGGCTTTTACACTGCCCCGTGTGGGCCCCACCATAAGCCCTGCTTTGGATGTATATGAGGGTGGACAGGAGTAGGAGGGGGCAGGGCCACAGCACGAAGCACAGTGGGGATTCCAGGCAGTGCTGCTACCGTAGGCAACTGGAGACAGGCAGCCTTTCAGGGCTATCTTAATCTAGGGGGCTCCACAGGAGCCCAGAATTGGGAGGGCACCAAGCCACCATTAGTCCCTTTCCTCTAGCCTCAATGTGCTGTGCCCTGCCTCTTAATGGCACAGCAAAACGTCTCACCCCATGCGTTTAAATGAGGATTGTGCATTCTGGTTCCACAAGAACCCCAAATAAACCTTAAAGAATCGATCTGGAGTCCACTAACCGTATATTTTTGGAAATTTTATTTATTCAAAACTATGACTTAAAAGAAATTCAACCCTCTTGGATTAAAAAAAAAAATCCAATTGGATCATTATTGTGCAGGTTTTCTGCGTAACATTGCCTAGACATCAAATTTCAAATATGGATTTATAGGGCCAGATCTTCAGCTGGAAGTTGGCATAGTTCCATTAAAGCCAATGGAGCTATGCCGAATTACACCAGTTAAGGATTTGGCTCAGTGGGAAACTTTGCTTGCCTTTTGTTGTATGAGCACAGCAACAAAAATGCTCCTATGGCTGCCTATGGGGTATCAGTACTTATGTCTTGCTTTGGTACTGCTGGAATTGGAGCTCGTGCTGTTAAGCACTGATGTATTTTTGTTATTGGTGGAGTTTTACTTTAAGCTGTGTTGGGAAATCATAATGCCAGTCAGGAAGGGGTTAAAGAAGCCAGCCATCCCACCCTTACACCCTGTCTCCTCCTATCACCGTCACCCATCCACCCTGTTGTCCTATTGAGCATAAATAAAAGTCCTGGCTTTGTCCTCCGTGAGAACAATACTCATATGTACTGAACTAAAGCCAGTACGTTTGCATCTCTCTTCTATTAGGCAAAGAAGGCGAATGTGAAGAATTTTTAAATTCAGGATCTGTTTCAGCGGTTTTATTGGACATGCAGAGTTTAACTGATCAAGAGAAAAGCCCATCTCCTGTCCCAGTAATCAGCTCTCCAAGCCATGAAGAGTTTAACACTACTGTTCCCGAAGAGGTATTGTTCTATATTTTCTCTCTGTGTATCACTACTTGACAACGTTACTCATGCTGTAGTTGTATTACAGAAACCAACCCCCTGCGTCTTTAAGTTTTCTTGCTTGTTAGGCACTTTCAGTAAAACTTCCCCATTTTGTTTGGAAAGTCCTTACTAGTATAGAATTTGTTTGAAAGCCACCAATCCCAAATTTGTGTAAACACAAAATCATATTTAATGTCCAGAAATGATTTTAATATCAAATATAAGAAAGTTTCTGGAACTGTATTCTCACTGATTTTATGTAAAATCTTATTTAAAAGCTTATTTTCACTTACCGGAAATAAAATTGAGACTATTTTAAATCAGTTAAAATATATACTATAGTATATTTAAAGGGGTGCAGTCTACTTGGTATCTTCTCCATTTCCAAAAATGAGTTATAAGTAGTTTATGGTCTGTCCCATGCCAACATCCTTGATTTTACAAGCATGTTTTCCTAAATTTAAAATATTTATCTCTCCCCTCAAAGCACTCATGCAAAATGAGGAACTAGCTGATTATACAGAGAAAACCAGTGAAAATAGCTGTAAACCAAATTCTGTCAAATGCACTAAGCAAGCAAACTGAAACATACTATCTCCTTCCCCGGCTCTCCCCGACCCATACCCAACACACAAATGTTTCATTTATAGTTATCTTCAGGGTACCTTGTAACAGTGGATCAGAACATTTCAGAGAGGTGTGATTCTTTTGAGTTGATGTCCCTTTAAACCTAGGGCATGGCCCTGCATTCCTTCAGCTGGCGATCCGGGTGAACAGGCCGTGCAGGATTGGGCACTAAGAAAGAGTACTGTATCATAACAGTGATGTATAGTGTCAGGCAATATCTTACACCGAGATAACGTGTGAGTAAAAGTCTTGACTTCTATGGGACTGCTCATGTGTGAAAAGTTACTCATTTGTGTAGTGGGATTATGTCCCTAATTTTTATTTAGTATATTTACAAGTCTGGTGCTTCTGCCTTCTGGAAGGCTCTGAACAGCTTGGAATAGGGTGTTTGCCTCCAGGGGTTGAATTTATATACGCATACATCGTTTTCTTGATTCTCTTTTAAAGAAATCGAGAACAATGGTGAAATGTATTACTGTAGCACCTAGAAGCCCTCATCATGGATTGAGACCCCACTGTACTAAAGGTTGTACAAAGCCAGCCCAATCCCGGCCCCAAAGAGCTTACAATTTAAGTATAAGACACGACACAACAGGTGGAGATGGTGGAGAAACCCAGCTGCATTCTACCAGCAGTTTCATTCACAGACATGTCTTGCATTTGCATTGTAAAATAATGGGGATCTTTTTAGCTGATGTGGTACTGTCCTGTTACAGGTCTGTCTCATCTTACGCTGGGGTTACGTTCCTTAGTCAGCGCCTAAAGCGAAAATCGCATATAGTGAAAATTATATTGAGTGTAATGGCGGGCGGAATCGCCCGCACTACAGAAACAGTATTTAAATTGTTATTTTTCTCTTTTTTTGTTTTGTTGTTTTTGTTTTTGCCAACCGCGTAAAGCTGAAATTGCGCATGTTAAATGCGCCTAAGATGCGACAGACCTGTATACATCATGTATTTAAACTGTTTCTTGTGTTTAATATCTGAGATAATAAAAATTGAAAATTAAAAGTATAATTGTCTCTTACCTTTTGTGTTTGTTAGTTTATATATTGTACCTCTCTGTTTTGCTGAACTGAGGCCCAATCACTTAAACACGTGGTCACATCCCATTGAAGTTGCATTTAATGAGACTTAAACACATGCATAAAGTTAAGCACCTGCTTAAGGGTTGCACTGACCAGGGATGGATTTACACAAGTGCATAAAGTGAATTCAACTATTAACATTATGTAGATATTTAATAAGATGTTAGAGAAATTACTTTTAAAAAATCCCTCTAAAATTTAATAGAAAATTACTTTGTACAGGATTTTTTGAACCATGCTATAGAAATGAAGAGCAAGCTTACAATTTTCTATTGAATCCTACAAGATGTTTCCAATAACCTATGAGAAAGTTACAGTTTTCTATTAAATTCCATAGGACTTTCCCAGGTCGTGTTTTTGTCTTCTAATTTTAATGCTATGGATACATTTTACTGTTATGTTCTGATATGTGTCTGAGTAGTCCCATCGAACCCAATGGGATGCGTCCCATGCATAAAGCTGTGCATGCATAAATAAATGATAGGATTAGGCCAGAAGCCCAGGGTTCAGCAGAGACCTTAAGTGTGTGTTTAAATGCTTCACCGAACCAGGGCCTTAGTGCTTAGAGCCAGAGAGAGGCACTTTACATTTAAAAGAAAATAAATACCGTAGCTTAAATAATTGGCACCCTTGATGGAAGTCTCAGAGCAGCCAAGGACTGAACAGAGATGGAGAGTGAACTATTATTTCATGTCATGGGGGGGGGGTCCATAAGGGAGATGCATTGCAGGCAGCATCAAGTGGCTTATGCTGCTTTTATCCATCCTGTTATACCTGCTCTGTATACCAACAGAGGATTTTAAGCTCCAGTGTTGTCAGCCTGGCCCATCTTTATAAGCACTAAACTGTGTTTATAGTAAAAAGAAAATGAATTGAACCATATGCCTGGGTCAGAATTTTATTTTTGTCGCTGATCTATTTGATTTTGATTTTCATACAGTGATTGTGTAGCTTTTGCCCACTCTAATGATGTGTCCTTTCTTCTTTTAGAACTCACTACAAATTCACACCAGCATCTTGCAAGTTTCAATCCCTGCTTTTCCACCAGCACCCGAAAGCCCAGAAGCAGCTACCGAAAAAATAAAAGCACAGCCTAAACCAGAAGTTGCAAGTGAAGTGAGGTATAGTTTTTACAAACTATTTCTAACTGGTATGTAAAGTCAAAGTTCTGTTACAAAATGTTAGGTGAAATTGTGTTTATTAGTGACTGGACAATTAGAGTATTAAGTCTGTTTCCTCAAACTAGCACTGTCACATATGTCATCCATCTAGGACTGAAGTATATGCTCACCAAACCCATTTGTTTTCGCATTTCTATTATTGTTGTAGTTCATTATAGCACCAATAGTGTGCTACGTGCTTGCTGACAAAGAAGGTGTTGAAATTAATAGGAATGTTGTGGGGAGCAGTTGCCCCATAATGGCCCCTGACTGGCTGAATGTGGCACAATAGGTGCTCCCTGCCTCAGTTCCTTCCCTGAGATGGGTCCCCTCAGCACATACCAGCCAGTGGTACTAGAGCTGTGGCTTAGCCTTCTGGCCAAGTCATAAACAAAAATTAACCCCTTTGGGGTAGCAAATGTGCAACTAAGAAGTCCCAACAAACAAAAAGGTGGTTCTACTCTTTGCGGGTTTCTCTTCACCCCACCCTCGGGGACCTGTTCCCAGTTTCTGGGCTACCTTTGAGAGTCTTTATGGCTCTGGGATAGAGCACTCAGCCCTACGGTATTGTTCTGGGCCCTGCTGTTGTAGAGCACCGGATCCCCGGGCTGGTTCCACTGGAGCAGTGGTTCTCAACCAGGAGTACGTTTATCCTCGGGGTTACGCACAGGTCTTCCAGGGGGTACATCAACTCATCTAGATATTTGCCTAGTCTTACAACAGGCTACATAAAAAGCACAATCTAAGTGAGTACAAACTAAACTTTCCTATAGACAATGATTTGTTTAAACTGCTCTATATACTATACACTGAAATGTAAGTACAATATTTATATTCCAATTGATTTATTTTATTATTATATAGTAAAAATGAGAATCTAATCAATTTTTCAGTAATAGAAGTGTCACAGCACACTGTCTGATTTTGTAAGCAAGTAGTTTTTAAGTGAGGTGAAACTTGGGGTGGTACGCAAGACCAATCAAACTCCTGAAAGGGGTACAGTAGTCTGGAAAGGTTGAGAGCCAGTGCCCTGAAGTACCCTTCTCCTGCAGACCCTGGCTCAGAAGCTTATAGGAGCCTGCCCATTCCTTCTGGTTCCACAGGGAAGTCTGATCTCCCTCAGCCCTTTTACAAGGCCTAGGTGTCCATTAAGCTGCCACTTGACCCTCCTTAGCCATGCCCCCTCAGTCTGGGAAGCAGCTAATTAATTATGGCCTGTGTGTGGCTGGTTCCATTTCCCCCTTTAAGACCAGGATGAACATAAAACTGATGTAATGCAGTGGAGAATCAGGAGAATTGTTTTTACTTTACATAAATAGCTTAGTTTTAGATGCAATATCATAATATGTAGTGTGAATTTGCTGTAAGCGATTTGCAGTCAGAGATTTTTAAAAAATCCTGCAAAGCACTGCCAAATCCAAACCGAAACTGAGAATGACTAGCCAGTACTGGTCACAGGAGCCATAAATAAGCTACCAGGAAGAAGACAAATCACAGTTTCAAGAAGTCTGAGAGATTGATTCCCTTGAGGCTGGCATATGACAATGAAATTGGGTTTTTCTAGCCTGAGGCATAAGTGAGTACAGATTTTACTAAGGAGCGTTGGTTGAGATTTTTAAAGCCAGCTAGAGGATTACAGCCTTAGCCACAGAACTCCCAGTAAAGCTAATGAGAGGTGTGTCGGAGAATAACAAAGTTCTCACTTTTTGTTTGGGTACAGCAAGTCAGATACTTTATTTTCTCTCTATCAATTGCATAGAGGGAGAGAGCTGAACAGGTCTCTCAACAGGTAAACAATTACAGCAAGCATTTATACCTTTTGTTACAGACAATAATGAGCAACAGCTGCATTTTGTTTATACATAGGTCATTCTGATATCTTGTTTTGCTCACTAATGTAGACTCTTAGTCTACATTCCATATTATCTACACAAGGTCGCAACAACTTCTCACACAGTTCTTTCCCACTCGCCTCACACATTCCTCGCTTCTACAAATCTCGCGTTATTAGGGTTACAGTTAGCCTGACTCTTGCTAACGAACTGTCATACATTGCATCCCCTTCCTGTCAGTTCTTTCTCTGCTTCCACAGGTGTTTAGCTAAATTCCTTAGCTGGGTTTTGAAGATCTCAACCATTATTTTTAATCTATAATAATATGGGATGTTAGGAATCCAAATGCCATGAAATCTCATTGATATAAGACTGTCTTTGACTTTAGTGTACAAACTAGAGCAGACAAGTGCTGAAGCGTGCTTTCTTTGGCCCTGATCCAGGAAAGCATCTCCACCCAGGACAGCTTGTGCTTAAGTGTTTTTTCCTGAATCAGGGCCTCTGTCTTTCTCTGCTCTCCTTCCCTCCTTCCCACTCTTCCACTGGTTCCCATATTTCTTCATGCTTTGCTGCCACTCATGTAGCTCTAGCCTTAAGCAATGTGAATCTCATTTCTTATTCATTTTCTCTATTTTTAAAAACAATCACTGTGACCTGACTCATTGCCAGAGTTCCCATTATAGCCTGCTTGTGTCTCCATTTCTTGCAAGGCATGTGAGACCGTTACACATGCTGTGACCTCTTAATTTACTCAGACTCAATTCCTGAATATGTTGGTTAGCCTGCGGTGCTTGAAGTGATGTAGGAAGTCTTTGCCATGCTTCTTGAGTTCACTCCCACCCTTTTTCTTTTATAACAGGAGATGACAGAAGGAAAGATTTGATTTGTGGTAATATACAGCCATTCAGGTGAAAAAAGAGAGTTAAAATTCACTAGTTGAGAAGATAGGATGTATTGATGGAATTCTTAGGTATCTTATAATGTAGTACCTTGTCTGTTTTACAGTGAAGGGACAACATCATGTTCCTCCGTAGAAACACAGCCATGTGACAGTCCATTGTAAGTACCATATCAACCAATGAAATGCTTCTACTTAGTCACCTTTCTACCATATTTTTAAAGAATTTTTTTAATGATCACACGAAAATGTGTGTAGTTATTCTAACCACGTTAACTCATTTTAAAATAATTTGGTGATGTTGATAGTTTTCTGCTCTGATAATTTCTAATGCTCTTTCTATAAATGTACACTAGTGTCTCATTTCTGTTGCAGTATGAAATGTCTTCAGTCAAGTCATGTAACATCAGTGGGCTTGGGGAATTACATTTTTTTTTAAATACGTATGCAGCTACACACAGATGCTGAGATCAGCTCTGCATGGGAAGGCTGAGCTCAGGCACCTCCCAGTTCCTAAGGCATGCACCCCCCTTTGGCATGTAAACCCAAAATTATACCCTCTTGCACTAATCAGAAAACTGTACAGCGGATGCTCATAAAATTTGTCCGTCCCCCTCCATGTGGAGAGAGATAGGCAACAGCTTTCTGCCCTCAGTTATGATTTCAACACATTGGTTTTAGACAAAACAAAAACAAGTTTATTAACTATAAAAGATAGATATTAAGTGATTATAAGGGATAAACAGATCAAAGCAGATTGTGTTTTTGTTTATTTGCTAGGTAATCTAAGTTTAATATACTAAAGAGATTGGATATGAGTAGCAAATTCTCACCCTAATTGTTTTTTTACTCAGTTTGCAGAGATTCTTGAGGGCAAGCTGCACTTGCTTGCAGCTTAAAACCCTAGGTATTCCTTTCACAGGCTAGAAATCCCTCTAGCCTGGGTCCAGCCCTTCTCTCCTAGTCCAGTCTTTGTTCCTCAGGTGTTTCCAGCAGTTGTCTTGGGCGGGGAGTCAGTGAAGAACCACGATGATGTCACTCCCTTGCCTTAAATAGCTTTTGCATATGGCGGGAATCCTTTGTCTACCCTCTTGGTTCCCACGCCCAGTCAGTGGAAGAACACTGGTATTCCAAGATGGAGTCCAGTACCAAGTGACTTGGTCATATGCCCCTGTACGGTCGCAGCAGCCATGACTCGGAGGCTGTTTGTAGCATCCTCAGCAAGGCTCCCTGGTGGGAGATTAGCATCTTCTAAAACCTATTGTTTTCCCTAATGGCCCTTCCCAGCCAGCCATCTAGACTGATTGCATTCTGCCTAGTGGGTATTCCCCAGGTGTAAGCACATTTGTAATAGATGCATAGACAATATTCCTAACTTAAGATACAAACATGATACATGCATACAGATAGGATAATCATATTCAGTGAATCATCACCTTTTCAATGATATTTTACATGACCTATCTTGCATAAAATATATCATAGTTATGCCATATCATAATATTACTATGAAGAATATGGGGTGTAATGCCACAATGTACACATGACTTATGTTTGCCTTTTATGGTAATGACAAAGGGACATTGGCTAGTGTAGAGGAGCGGACTCACCTCTGTGGCGCCTCCTGCTGGTAGTCTCCGGGAATTAGCTCATTTCAGCATTGGAGCGCCCCCTGCAGGCCGGTGGTCCGCCTGTCCTCCGGCCCCCGTGTCCCTCCCGGACCCCGGTGCCCTTTTATCTGGGGTGCTGCCCCCTGGCAGTACACCCCTCAGTACTAGAGTCTCCCCTCCCCAGGGAACCCCCAACCACTATCCCTACCTCGCCTCAGAATAAGTCCATTGCCAGTCACCAACTAGCCCCCGCTCCCTGGGGCAGACTGCAGTGTAGGCCACTCATCACAGGCAAGGTTGGGTTTGGACCTGCTGCCTTGGTCTACCCCTGGGCTGCCCTCTGCAACCCCCAGTACCCCTTGGTCTCCTACTAGGCCGCAGCCTGGGGCTTTCCAGGCTGGAGCTCCCCAGCTCCTCAGCCTGTCCCCAGCCCTGCTCCACTCTGGTACTCTGTCTCTAGCTCGCTGCAGCCAGGCCCTTCTCCCTCTGAAGGCAGAGAGAGACTGCTTGGCCTTTGCCTCACAGCCTTTTTATATAGGGCCAGCTCCCAGCCACAACCTTCCCACAGGGCTGTTTTAAGCCCTTCAGGGCAGGAGCGGGGTAACCACCCCACTACAGCTAGCTAAAGGGATTTGTCATGGGAAATTAATTTTAACCTCAGTCATTTACCTTTATTGTCCACTGAGATCAATGGGACTGCTTTCTTGCTCAAAGGTAAACATGTGCTTAAGTTGTTTGCTGAAAAGGGGCATAAAGCCATCACAATTAGTATATTGCTTGTGTGTGCGCATACTAGGCTCCTTGCGTCGGCCCTGCACGTACTCACCAGAAGCATGTGTGACGATGTACAGTTCAGTGCACCATGGGTAGGTATCCCAGTGTGCAACCCACCACCATCCAGTGCACTGTCTTTTGGGAAGTTTTGACAATGCATGGTGAGGACTTGGAGCAAGGGGTCAACTTCTCAACATGCAACTGTTGCCATCCCATAATGTCATCTATATCCCATAATTTTTGCACCTTTATAAAAAATCCCACAAACCCACATGGCATTCCTTGCTGTCCGCATCTCTGACAGAAGCATGAAGCCTGCACAGCTGTCACTAATGTTGTTGTTTTTTTTTATAAATGGAGATATCCTATCTCCGAGAACTGGAAGGGACCTTGAAAGGTCATTGAGTCCAGCCCCCTGGCTTCACTAGCAGGACCAAGTACTGATTTTGCCCCGGATCCCTAAGTGGCCCCCTCAAGGATTGAACTCATAAACCTGGGTTTAGCAGGCTGGTGCTCAAACCACTGAGCTATCCCTCCCACCCTAACCGTGATAACTGTTGCAAGCACAGGATGCGTGATCCTTCAGTATTTGCAGAGTCGTAAGAAGAACCAAATCAGCGGGGAACATGAGAATTTCCTGCAAGACACTTTGCTGAGGGACATAGCAAGAATCAATTCAAGGTTGTGGGTGGCATTCATGGAGCAGCTACAAATGGCAGAGTGCCACTGCTGGGCCCCAGAAACGAGCACTGACTGGAGGGATTGCATCGTACTGCAGGCTTGGGATGACGAGCAGTAGCTGCAGAACTTTCAGATGTGCAAGGCCACATTCCTGGAACTGTGTGCCAAGCTCACCCCAGCCTTCCAGTGCAGGAACACCGAATGAGAGCTGCACTGACGGTGGAGAAGTGAGTGGCGATCGCACTGTGGAAACTTGCAATGCCAGATTGCTGCCTGTCAGTAGGAAATCATTTTGGAGTTGGAAAATCCACTGTGGGGGCTGCTGTCATGCAAGTGTGCAGGGCCATTAATCGTCTCCTGCTATGCAGGACTGTGACTCCTGGCAATATGCAGAATATAGTGGATGGATTTGCAGCAGTAGGGTTCCAGAACTGTGGTGGGGCGATAGATGGGACACACATCCCTATTTTGGCCCCAAAGCACCTTGCCCCAGAGTACACTAACAGAAAGAGCTGCTTTTCTAGCATTATGCAATCGTTGTTGGATTACCAGGGGCACTTCGCTGAGATCAATGTGGGCTGGTCAGAGAAGGTGCATGATACTCGCCTCTTTAAAAACACAGGACAGTTAATGAAGCTACAAGCAAGGACTTTCTTTCTGGACCAATGGATTAACATTGGCCATGTTGATGTGCCAATAGTGATCCCAGGGGACCCAGCCTTTCCCTGGCTCCGCTGGGTCATGAAGCTGTACACTGGCCACCTCAACAGCACCAAGGAAAGATTCAACTACCAGCTCAGCAAGTGCAGAATGACAGTTGAATGCACTTTTGGAAAATTGACGGCACGCTGGCATTGTTTACTCACAAGACTAGATCGCAGTATGAAACACATTCCAATGGTATTGCTGCCTGCTGTATCCTGCATAATATCTGTGAAGCAAAGTGGGGAAAGTTGCCACTGTGGTGGAGGGCGAAGGTGGAGCAGCTGTCGTCTGAGTTTGAACAGCCAGATGCAAGGGTTATTAGACGAGCTCAATGTGGAGCTATATGGCTCATGGAGGCTTTGAAGGAGCACTTTAACAGTGAGCCAGAATAATGCATTGTGGTGTACTGTGCTCAACCTGGCCATACACTTTTGGGGCATGTTAGACATTGTGAGGTGCTTGGTGTACATCTGTTAATATACACTGTCAATGCACCTATTAATTTTGCGGTGCTTGCTGTCCATTTAAGATGATTATACTGTTTGTCACTGATCCTATGAGTTGTCTCACATTGTACATTAACAAGTAAGTGGGAGGTTTTAGAGATGCTAGGCATTCTGCAACATATGTTGTAAGCTAATAAAGAGGAATTATTTTCCAAATAATAGAATTTTATTCAATAACAAAACCAGTGCAAAGAAAAATCTGTGCAATGTAAAAGTAAATACATTAAAAACTTAATAATTAGTGGAACAGAACTTAACAAGGAGAGAGAACATTCATATCCATTTTACCTACGCATATGGCAATTGTGGCTTTCACAAGTCAGTGTACTTGAAGCTGTGGTTTTCCTAATGTCCCCAGTGTGGAGTGGTGGAGTGTAAAAATGCGACCTCTAATGCCAGGTGGAATATTGAGGACGGGTGGAGAGAGGTGCTGTAATGGAGTTCCCCATGGACTGCAAAGGGAAGTGAGCCCGTGACTGTTGAAACTCTCGGTCTGTGACAGTCTGCAGCATCTGTGTTTGCTGCTGTTGAAGCCCCATTGGGTCCTGGTGTATCTTCCTCTCCTTTTTCTGCTAGGACTCCTGGGCCTTTCTCGTGTCCGTTCTTTCCTTCTCCAGGCTATCTGCAGTGTTCACATTTCAGGCCCCTTGCTTGTAGTTTAATGCAGCACTGTCTTGCAGGATCTCATTGAACATGTCATCCCGAGTCCTCTTCTTTCACCTCCTTCTCTGGCTCAGGCGTTCCATGGGTGTGGAGAGGGAACCCCTCAAGGGTGCAATGGCAGCAACTGCAGATAAAGCACATAGAGGTACTGTTGTCAGTGTAGTCACAATGGAAAGTGAAACTTGAGATTCAGAACTCCCTTCCCTTGCTCCTATAAAGTTTTAAACAAGACATGCTCGCTGACACATCTGCTTCTGAATGCTTGTGTATGGCGCCACTCACCGCCATGGTGAATACATCCCACCAGGGTGAGGGAAATGAGGAGGGAATTGCTCAGATGCATGAAACTGAGTATAAGGCAATGACACCGAATACTGGCACCATTTTCCACAGGCAGGGGTGATTTTAGCTGATATCTCTCTCCAGAGGGTAACAAAAGCACAGAGAGTGCAGCTGCTGCTGGTGTCCCGGAACTGCCCTGGCTCATATGCTGCTACCCTGTGCACTGCAGTGGTGCCTGCCAAAGTTATTGCCAGCTGGCGTGTGAAAGTGCCCTACCACAAAGGAAGAAATAAGGCTGTCATCCTCGGAAACATTCGGGAGAGGACTGCAGAGTACCTCCATGAAAGTGTCATTAAGATCTCTCAGGAGGATTCAAGGGACATCCCTGTATATAGAAACAAACTGCTCCTCATAGTCTCCCTTCCCTAACTCTAGAGGGGAATGAAAAGCAGATAGCAGTCCTACAGCTCTTTGTTGTACTTCTAGTACAAGTCAATTAATGAAAAGTCGATAGCTGTGTCCTGTTAAGTTGGGAGTGCCATCAGTACATCATTGTGATGGGAAATACATTTACACTTCCCCTACTTTGGGCTCACCCGTGCCCAACTGCCAGGACTGACTGGACTGCAGTGGAATCTCAAACAGGTCCTGGCTCATGTCATCCCTCATCTTCCTCCTTGTCCTCGCTGTTCATGGCAGGAGTCTGTGTCTCGATCTCCTAGGAGGTATCCACAGTGTTGATGGGGTCTCTGCCAAGTATGGCATGCAGCTCTTCTGTACATCGACCATATGGGGTGCTTACATTGGTGGGAGACAAATTTTAAGTGTAGACATGTGTACAATTAGGTTGACGCAAGGCAGCGTATGTCGACTTAACTTCATAATATAGACCAGACCTATGTCTCATTGAAAGTCACTTCTGAAAATAGGACTTAGGGTTACATTTTCAAAAGCAGCTCAGTGACTTAATAACCTAAGTCTCTGAAAATGAAATTTGGCAATACCTGTTGTTGACAATGTTGTGTCTTTCTTTTCCTAGTTCAGTTTTTTTCAATTATTTGCAATCTAAAAATAGTGCATGCATTTTCCTTCTTTGTGATCCCAAAGCAGTTTCTTTTCTATCTTTACTGATATCCTAAAATAAGTGATTTTTTTCCCCTTGAGGGACTTTCCTTTAAGAATAGTTATATTTTGTTTTTAAAATGTATATGAACTTCTTAACAAGTGAAATAACAGAGTGTTTTTAAATGTCCACCTAAATTGCTTGAATGAAACCTTTACAAAATGGTTACTGTATGCATACATGCAAATTAAACACTAAGAACTTGCAAGTTATGCGTGCAATTTGGCTCATGCAAGTACATATTTTGGATGTCTATTTCAGCCTACCTTTTGGAAAATTTAATTTAAAATAAGAAGCAAAGAATTTCAGAGTTAAACAGCCTGTCACTCCATCATTAGCTCATCCTCTTGTACCTTAACATAGCAGTAATTATGCTATGGAAGATTTCCTGGCAATACCTAGCCACCACATGGGAGGAGTTAACAAGGGAGGGCTGTAATACAATCTTTATCTAGTTCTTTAGAATACATTTGCCTTTGAGACAATGGGATCTAGCTTCATTAACTCATAATCATTTTGATTTTTATGCTCTTATTGTAGAGTGTCAGCCCTGCAAAAATCCAGCAGTCTGGGCAATTTGAAGAAAGAGGCATCAGAAGTGGTTGGTTTTGTTTTTTAGTCCTTTCTTTCCCCTTAATACTGAGGCCCAGATTGTCTATGCCAATTCTGGCCCCCTGACTGGTGCAAGGGGCTGGAATCTGGCTGGAGCTGGCTAGTTGAGAAGTCCTGAGGTGGTGTGGGAGGTCTCTTAGCCCTGGTCTACACTGGGGTGGGGGGTCGATTTAAGTTACGCAACTTCAGCTACTTGAATAACGTCGACATACTTAGATCGACTTACCGTGGTGTCTTCACCGTGGTGAGTCGACTGCTGCCACTCCCCCGTCGACTCTGCTTGCACCTCTCGCCAAGCTGGAGTACAGGAGTCGACAGGAGAGTGCTCGTAGGTCGATTTATCGCTTCTAGATTAGACACGATAAATCGATCCCCGCTGGATTGATCGCTGCCCGCCAATCTGGTGGGTAGTGAAGACATACCCTTAGGTGGCATGGAGTCAGTTCCTCTACCAGCTCTGCCTGCCTGCCCCAGATTAAGTTTGGAGCAGCGCATAGCTCTGTTCATTCAATTTACAGCTAGCTATGACCCCATTTGTAACAAAATCCTGTGGATATTAGTGAAGAAAATCTGTCCCTGAATATTTAGGGGTCTATCCTCTTACTGTATGAGGTATTTACATAAGTAAATCACCTGCACTCCAAAGTTGTGTCTTCATTAGGTAAAAAGGTGTATTCTTAATTCAGGTTACCTAACTAGAGGTAAAATCCTAGTAAAGACAAGGCAGTTTGCCATTGTCATGTAAGTTAGCAGGGCAAGTTGAAGACAAGGGGCCCCCAGCATCTCAGCAATAGAGATGGGTGAATGATGGAGATGGAGGAAACTGGAGGAGAGGGTGAATTTTGCTTAGGGTTAAAAACCTTTATCTGTCATAACGAGAACCAAAACTAAACAGGTCAGATCTGAGTCCCATTATATCCAAATCTGTGATAAGCAGCTCTAGTTCAGGCTGACTGTTATTTGCAGGGCTATGGAAGGGAAAACCTGCAATTATACCCCATAAGATTTATTTGCACTGTGCTCAGAGAGAGATGCTTTTTTACCAGCACTAAATTCATTTACTTTTTGTAATTAAAACCAGCCTTGCTTGTGCAAAGCCATTAATAAATCAGGATCTAAAAAGGACTATATTATGAAATCCAAAACCTAAACAGAACTGCATGTATGGGAGAAAATAAAAAGTGACATTAATCTATGGGAAGTATAGTTCTTAAGTGATTCCTTTTGAAAAATAGAAGAGGAAAGAAATCTCACTATTTTTAGCTGAAATGAATTAAATAATGAGGTAACTAAGAATTTTAACACTTCTCAATCCTTCCCAAACAGGACAAAGAACCTGTACAGAAACCAGCAGAGGTAATTTTTGTGTGTGTGTCTTCGTGTGAAGCAATGCAGAGAGCAGAAGGTGTTTTAAATAGCATCATTTTATTAACATTGTATCAGAATTTTGAAGGGAGAATAGCAGACCTGCAAGCAAGGTTGTGGAGTGTGATTCAGAGAATATATTCGGGTCTCCACCGTCACTTTGGGTCAAGTTTATATTCTCTCACTCACTCTTGTCTTCTCACACATGGCTTTTCATTTTGACTGGCTGAGAATAAATAAAATCACCCATTAGCTATTGTTCCCCACCTTCTCTTGGGGCAAACATATTCAAATCACTCTGTCTCCTAGTTGAGGTTCTCCCCTCACCTATACTCACCAGGCCCCAAAGACACCCCTTATTGTGGTACGCTGTCCTGGCTAAGCAGGACTCCAGGGGGCTTGCAGCCCAAACCATTGATGCTTCTCCCGAGCCAGCCAGAGGATTCCTTACAGAGCAGCACAAGCAGTTCCTGTTCCCACGTGGCAGAGTGCATGCTGCTGATTCAGCATGCTCATCCCTTGACAGCCCAGGATCAAGGGATATAGAGTGCCTCCAGCCCGGCAACCCTGTGAGGTTACACATTGCTCCACCACAAACTAACAAAGCTGGGTCTCAGATTTGTTATTTAGCTTTGTAGCATTTGTAATTAACTTGTTTTTCTACCTTGGAAATCTTCCAAGTTCCCATTGTTTTGGAGCTTATCTTTTTACAGTGGTTGCCATTAAAAAGTAACCATTTACCAACCACTATCTAGTACACAGCCACTGTTTCCTATTCTAAGTAATTTCAGTGAATTACTGAAATTCTAAGTAATGGGGAAGAATCCTTGTATCTTAAATACCACTTTTATAGTCATGACTGTGTTTTTCAGCAAAAGGAGAATTGTGTTTATCTTGCCAATCAGAGACCATGAGAGGTTAAAAGTCGTATGTTTAAAACCCCAGACTAAATAGAGATGTGCTTATTAATATTACAATCATCTTAGATTATCAAAGCTGCCAGAATTTTACAAATCTAATTTGTTCTCCACCATTTATGCCATTTGCTCGCTGCTTCTGTGTCTTTCAATTGGACAATGGAAATAGGCTGCTAGTCCAGTGATTTTCATACTGTGCTCTGCAAACGGCTCATGGTCCATGGAGACTTTCTGGCAATCTGCAGAGAACTGGCCAGTCATGAGGTGCTTGTTCTTCCTCCCTTTTTCCAGAAACTTTCAGTGGGAGATGAGGGAGCTCAGGACGTCACGGGATCAAACCCTATGTGGATGTGTGGTTAATTTATCATTTTAAAGGGCCACTTTTGCAAGATCTGACACATTTAGTACAGAAATGCTACTGTTAAACAGGTAGTAAATATAATTGAGTCACGAACACATTTTAACTGAAGTTCTTGCTTATTTAATCTAGACTCGGTACATGCATGCTATAGTCTATTTTACAGTGCAAATGCTACCTTTATTTCCAGATTACCTTTCAGAATTGACTGTGCACAATTAAAAGCTTTTTGTAGTTCAGTAAGATTAAGTTCTGAAGTTTTGTTTTCCTGATTAATCAGACTAAAGCTCCCATGGAAGGTAACAAGGGTGGAACCCTTCCTCCAAAATCCCCAAGCCATAGTGGTACCGGAGATGAGGACAGTTTTGGTACCCGAAAAGCCAGATCTTCATTTGGACGAGGCTTTTTCAAGATAAAAAATAACAAGAGGACAGCAAGTGCACCTAATTTGGGTAGGTACCACGCTCCTGAAAGCATCTCCAGTGTATTTTGTACAAGAGTCTTTAATAATGATGGGGGGTTCTTTTTATGCATATTGTAGCTATCATAAACAGGGGCAGGGGCAGCCACAGTATGACCCAAAGAACTGGATTAACTGACGGCTGTGCAAGAAAAATGCTGTGCAAATGCAGTTCAATCCAACCCGTGCCTTGACCTCTTTGCTCAGTCCCTGTATAGCATACTGCAATTTTAAGGTAGCAGTTTCCTTGTTGAAATGCAGTGGTTCATATGCATTTTTCTTCTGCTCCAACCTCTGCTCAATATCTTAATCTTATCACAAGAGCAGTGTTGTTACCACAGTCCAATATTATACCTACAATAGCACCTCTACTACAGTTGTCTTCCGTCTTTTTATTAAAAGTGTCAGCAAAATGTAGGTACCTGAGATACATCTCTCCCCTGGGAGAGGAGCAGAGAAAAACCTCCATCCTTCAGAAGTTTAAATGGGATTACGGCCTCCTTGGTCAGAATAAAAGTCTTCCACTCTTGCCTACTTAATGGTCATTCCAGTCCTGTGCCCCAGGGAGTTAATTTACCCACAGCCTTGTTATATATGGCCCATGTCTTCCTCTCCCATATATAATATGAAAATTGATTGACCTACATGGAACGGATTTCAATGATTAGACCAGTTGTCGCGTCCCACTAAAATGTTTTTGTGCCCATTTCTTCATACGACGTCTGCAGTGTAACAAAAATAGCAATTTTAAAATAATCCTTACTGGTTGAAAGCAGTGGGGTATAGTGGTCACAGTAGAGGACTGGGAGATGGGACCCTGGGTCCTGCTCCTAGCTCTGCTATGAATTTGCTTTATAAATCTGAGAAAGTCGCTTACATTGTCTGTGCTTCGGTGTATCCATCTGGAAAACTAGTCAATAATACTTGTCTCCTTCATAGGGGTATTGTGAGGCCCAGGCACAATGAGTTATGACACATGCAATCTTTTACTTTCTTGTGCTCAAATGCTGATTGAAATCATCGGGATGTTGTTTTACCCTCATTAATATATAGCTTTGCTATGTTACATTTTGGTGAGGAAGGGATTAACCGTGTACTGGTAATCCTAATCTGTGTGTGAATTCAGTGGTGTGTGTGGTGCATGTGTCTGTTTTACTTTTCTCCCCTTGTCTTGTATTTTGCCAGTGTAAATTTTGATGTATGTTTTACCTTGTCGTTCTGCGTATTCTCTCCCATTGTGCTGCGTGTGGTTATGTGCATTGTTTGGATATCTGAAGATCGCAGTCGAAGTGCAAGTGCACCTACGTTAGGTATAGTAGTCCTGCATGTCTGCCTGTACCAGTGCTTTGCTGTGATTGCTGCTAACAGCTGGTTATGGCCATGAACTTTTAAAACCGAGCTAGAAACAAGATCTCTGTTGAAACACTAAAACGTATGTTCTGTTTAACACTGGCCCACTACTCAAAGTCTGCTGCATTGTTTCATGATAACCACTACTAATGAGACGCATTGCGCGTAGACTTGCAAAGGTTAATGAACCTCCGAACACAAGGTTACCCATCAAGGCAAAAAAGAAGGTAGAGAATGGGAAGTAATTGTAGAAGTGTGTGTAATCTACAGAGGCCTGGCCACGCATTCTGCTCACTTTTATCATAATGACTTGTTGGTTATTCAGATCATCATCTCTTTGTGTTGTCATCCAACTCAGTGCTTCTGGAAGATGCTAACAGGTAATGTAACATGAGTTTTGGCAGTATTTGTACGGCTTTAATTAAGCTAGCACTGAAGGGAGGGATACACGATTCCTCTTTTCCAAATAACTAAGGAAGAAATTAATGTAATAAACATCAGAGAGAGAAACCACACATGACAAATGCTAGTCTGGTAGTTCTGGCGTGTGCTCAGCTATGCTGGTGGATGAGGGCAGTATAGGAACCGGAATGGAATTTGTTGCCTTTATGTACAGCCATGTAACCCTAAATCAGTGATGGTAACTGAAGGCGAATATGGTCCTAAAACACGACAGAAATAGAGGCAGTCTCCTTATTTCCCATTAGTGTTCCAAATTTCCAAACATCACTTTCATAAAACAGCTATTCTGAAGGATTATTTCAGTGATGAAGGAGATACAGTGAGTGGCTAGTACCCACAAACCTCTGCTTCTGATTCATTCAACCATGTCCTTCTGTTTCCCACCAAGAATGCTGCTTAAATGTGTTTTTTCCTAAATTAGATTCCTTTCTAAAATACCATACCTATACAGTAGCTCTATCCTCCAGCACTGAGCACCTCGTTCACCCATCAGTAGAGCTGAAATGCTCCAAAAGCACGTTAAAATAAATTATATAGTTGCCTCTCTTCATGTTTGGCCATTAGAGAAGATATTGCTAATATGGGACCTGCTAATTGACCTTTTGCTAGGGCATCGAAACTTTGCCGAACTAAGGGCCACACTAGTGAGTTCCCAGGAGCTACAGTGCCACGCCTAACTTGCATTAATTGGAGCAAATTGCAGCCACCTTCATCATTAACTTTGAGGTATTAAACTATAGGTCCCAGTATACTGTGCTCCATCTTGATCCAAATGACTGGTAGTTGCTTCGTGAACCTTGTTTTCTCTTGAAAGGCAATACAGAGTTTATTTTTTAAAACAAATGATGGTGCCTGTAGCTGTCCATCCATATTAAAAAGGATGAAGGTGGCCACAAACCGCTCTGTGGTCTCCAGGGGCTACATTTTGGCTATGGCTGTTTCACTTTAATAGACTCCAGGCAGTAGATTTATAGTCACTCTTCTTCAATTTTGTTTTAAGCTTCCATTAGCGAATAAGTGATGTAAACAAACTCCTCATCGTTTGTTTGCCCACAGCTGTATGGCACTTGCTGGCACATCTCTGCTTAAGTAGAATATTAGATTCTGCAATTTGTTTAATCATCTATTTAGCACCTTTTTCTGTTATTTGTTTTTCATTTTATAATTTTGGTTGGCAAGTACATTCTTGAGCAGTCCCCAGGTTCACTTGGAGTGGATATGAAGTCTCTGTAGACAAATACAGGATAAAGACGTAAGATTGCCATCATGGATGGCAACATGTTGTTTCCCTATGCAGTGATGGGTATTAGATACATCCATCCTTTGACTCTTAAATAAGAAGCAATGGCTTTTTAGTCAGGACACCACCCAAAGTTCATGGTACTTGTCTGTGAAGGAGAAAAATATTCCACTATGTGCAGAAGCGTAAGGCCCTCTTTTCCCAATTGCATTTCTGAGTCAGAAGGAGATGGCTGTTGGTAGATCTTGCTAGATGGGGATCTAATCAGAAATTGCATTTTATTATCAGGAACACTGGTGTGAAAACGCTTTATAGTGCTTAGGGCATCCTTGGGTACTACTCCCTGCTGTGCCACTGGATTCCTGTGGGGCTTCCTTGTGCCTCGGTGTATCTGTCTGTAAAATGGGGGAAATAACGTTTCCCTGACAGTTATCTACGGCCTTAATTTATTAGTAATTCATAAAGCATCTTTTGGTGCAAGGTACTTAACGAATGCAACATATTGATATTATTGGGTGCTACCAGTTTTCAAACACTAGACCGCTGAAAGGAACACATTTTATCTCCTTCGGATCCCCCTGTTTTCTTAAAATCGATGGTTCACAGTAATTCCAGCAAAAGTGGTTACAGACTCAGTAATGTGCTCATAATGTGAAACGCAGATGAAGTACTGCCAGGTGAAGTTCTACTGGGGTTTGTTTTGTAATAGCTGAAACAGAAAAGGGATCTGCAGATCACTTGGACCTAGCTGGTTTGCCCCCTCGACCGAAAGAAACTGATAGTGGGCAGCTGTCTCCCTCTTCTCCAGACTCCAAGAAGAAAGCCAGAGGAATCAAGAAACTATTTGGAAGGTAAGTTTAAAAAAAAAAAAAAAAAAAGTGAACATCATGTAGGTTTGGATCATTAGGGGGCTTGCTAATGGGATACGTAACCTTTCATCTCTAGGTCACCAAAAGTGCAGCTCAGGCTGGACACAACAAAGTCATTACCATTTGCAGTCTGTTTGGTGGCCTAGGTGGAATGACTTGGTCGTCTCAACACAGTTCCTAGTAAATCGTTATCCTTATCGCAAAGTCACTGCTGTGCCTGATGTGTTTTTGTTGGTTTTGTTGTTCTCTCTCTTAGTTCTTTGTTCTCAGCTTCTCATCCTTCTTCCCCCCCCCCCCCCGCCATTTAATAGCTTACGGCTTAGTGCAGATGAAAAGGAGCAAAAATTATTGCAGCTTATTTCAAGACTCCACAGTGTATTCCGTGATTGTGCCAATAAAGGAATTTATTCCTGGTTATTATATATTAACCTCCTTTATTTAGGCTTAAAAGGAGCCAGTCTACCACATTTAACCCGGATGATATGTCTGAGGCAGAGTTCAAAAGAGGAGGGACAAGAGCGACTGCAGGACCAAGACTGGGCTGGTCTCGAGATCTTGGGCAGTCTAACAGGTAAGAGGAGCTGCACTGAACCAGAATATGCAGTGCTTTTTCCACTTCTGTTTGCCCTTGTAGCAGGCTTTCGTTTTGTTCCTGTATTAAGAGGAATTGTGCTTTGCAAAAGTTAAGTTAGAGTAACATTAGCATTGCTAGCAAAAGGAAACAGGCAAGCCCTGGCTCTTTGGGACGTTGTCCTCCTTAAGAGGATGGTCGGGAAATTAATGTACTAAGTATGGCCCCATACTGCAGTGTGAGTCACACGAATGGAATCCCGCATCTGAGTGCAGTCCCATTGACTGGAGTGGGGCTCTCAGGCAAATGGGCTCAGGATCTGCCTCTGTTGGAGCTACACTGAAGTGAATGGGGCTGTACATGGGTGCAAGTGTCAGTCCACCACATCGATTTCAGGCAGGATCAAGGCCTCGGTCATCACATAAGCTGATAAAGTTCCCTTCATTATAATGTAGGTCACTGTAGTATCTTAAGTAAAGTATTTCAGTCGCATTTTAAAGTTTTAAAGCCATCCTGGTACACACAGATTATGATGATGATGACTAATAACTGTCATCGTCATGTTTATTATGCTAGTGCCTCGGACTCAACAACTGAGATCAAGGTCCCATTTTGCTAGGTATTGAACAAACACAGAGCAATAAACATATCTTTTCCCAAGTAGCTTACAGTCTAAATAATACAGGCACGCATCTCTTCCTGTACATTGTCTCAGCTCTGAAAAACACCTATGAATTTGTAATTTTTTAAAAAAATATTTCTTCTGCTTTAGTGACCTGGATATGCCATTTGCTAAATGGACAAAGGAGCAAGTTTGCAACTGGCTCCAGGGCCAGGGTTTAGGTTCATACATGAATCATGGCAAACACTGGATACTGTCTGGGCAGACTCTCTTGCAAGCTTCTCAGCAGGATCTGGAAAAGGTAAGACATGTTAGGAAAATATTTATATTGGGTTAATTGTTAAGCATCAGTTTACATTTTGTGTGTGTGTAAGTCAGGGCTATGAGATGCAACTAAAATCGAAGAGCCCAGCAAGTGAAACTTTAAAATACATTTGTCTTTAGTAACGCAAAAAAAATTGTTTTGTGTCTAACTTTAGTATGAATTTTAATGTTCATAATGAAAGAGGTAATTAAATGTATGATTTAACTGCAATAAATGTTGGCGCATCAACTAACTCTTCCAATCAGTACATTGAAAAATATATATTCAAATAAGGAAATCACTTGTTGCAATACCACTGGCTTATGGCCCTGATTCTCCACTTCTTTGCACCTTATGCCTTTATTTACCCCTGTGCAAGGTGAGTGTAAAAGGCTACTATTCTGATTTGGTTTTATACCCCATCCACTTTGTACAGTTATAAATGACAGCACAAGGTGCAAGGCACTGGAGAATCAGGCCCTCAATTCATGTAACTTTTCAATTAAATTGTCCATGCCACAGTTTTTCAATTACATTCAGGTTGGGAAAGTTAATTCTTTTCCTGCTTTGGGTCCACAGCATTAATCATTGTTTACTTCAGTCACAAGTCTGGCTGTACTGAATGTTTAGCTTCTTTTACTGTTGTAAACAAATAAGGCATCCACTTCCTTAAGTAGTCCCGGCTTAGTTCAAAGCTGCTATTCAGAGCTGTTGTTATATGATATCATGCAACATCCGAAAACATTTTTTTAATTAAAAATAGGTGTGGCCATAATGGCCGTTTTGCCTACCGATACTCCAATGTTTGCATTTGATATCAGGTATTTAGTTAAAAAAACAAAAAACTGTCTTTGAAGAGTTCCTGGAACAGCTGCACTTGCAACAGTATTGGGGAGGGCTATCTTATCAGGCCACTTATTCCTTAACATTTATATAGCACTTCATGTTTTCAAAGTGCTTTATAGCTAATAACTAACTAAACCTTGCAACCTTGCCTGTCTCACTCTCAGGTAGGTAGATAAGTATATTATCCCTTAAAATATTATGCCGACTACCATCACTGTTTAGTGAGCAGGCTATTTTTGCTCCACATAAGAATATTGGGGCTAACAACCACCAAAGGGATGAGGCATCTAAATGCATTAGGTATGTAAATAAGTGGCCTGATTTTCAGAAGTGCTGAGCAGTTGCAGTCCCATTGACATCCTAGGGTGTGGTGGGTGCTCAACAAATATCAAGCTGTGCTCAGGTAGATGCTTCGCTGTGAATTTAGATCTCTAAATTTAGGCACCTGACCAGATCTGTCCTTTGATACATGTGCACAATACTTGTTAATTTCAACAGCAATTGCTGCGTGTATCTAAGGGCAAAATTTGGCCTGTCATGTTGGAGTTTGTTTGTTAGTTTGTGAGTTGGGTAAAATGGATTTTGGTTATTTTTACATTTTGATTCTGTGTAAATCACATATCATCCATATGCTGCTGAGCTAGAAATGAAGTGCTTTGGTTTCTTTGTCTTCACAGGAACTTGGAATAAAGCATCCACTGCATCGGAAGAAACTTCAGCTCGCTCTTCAGGCCCTGGGGTCAGAAGAAGAAAACAATCATGGAAAACTGGATTACAACTGGGTTACCAGTAAGATTCGTTGCACTTTAAAATAATAGCATCTGTGCTTTCTAAAAGTGTGTTTACAGTGCACACTACTGGCAGCAGCATGTAGGGTGTGTGTAGCTACACACAGCAGTGAACATCAGGCTGCATCCACACTGCAGTTTGTAGCTAAACGTAGCAGTATAAGGCTCTGTCAAGGGGGAGGCCGCTGGGAGCTGCTGGAGCCTTCTCCTGTGCCAGAATCTTTCACTGTGGCGGAGAAAGGCTCTGGCAGCTCCCTGCAGGGGGCAGCTGCTGGACCGTCTCCCCAATGCCGGAGTCTTTATCTGCTGCAGAAGCCTTTCCCTGAGGTGGGGAAAGACTCTGGCAGTGGGACACTTCACCGCTAACAGTAGCAGTATGAACAGGGGAGGTACTGCTTGGGCCTGTAGAGAGCTGCATAGGGTACATACCCTAAGTGTTCAGGCATGTCTTTGCTCACCTAAGCAGTGTTTCACTGTCCGCACAGCTGTTCATACCGATGCTAGGGGGACCTGCTGCATATGTACTCTACATGCTGCTGTAAGGAGTGTACAGTATAGAAATACCCTAAGATAGAGGCAGGGGGTTAAGGATCCTGGATAATTTGAGTATCCATGAATACCCGCGAGTAATGATAACATGGAGAGTGCCGGCTAGATACATAACTGCCCTTCGTCTAAAGGTGTTTTGAGTTCGTAATATGTGTTTTTCTTAGGGTGGTTGGATGATATTGGACTTCCCCAGTATAAGACTCAATTTGATGAAGGAAGGGTGGATGGTCGAATGCTCCATTACATGAGCGTTGTAAGTAAATGACAGGTTATTTTCTGGCATATTTTGTGTTCTTGGTTTTGGTTGTTTTTGTTAGTTTTTTTTTTTTTAATGCAGAGTGACATGATTCTAGGTGGTAAATTGGAGCCTCGCTAATCTAAAGAAACTTGCTTTTCCTGCTATATATCATGGTGATTCCAAAAGTATTACCCAATTAAAGTTTATTTTACCACGCACTCAGAAAATGGAAATCAGTAGACTTTTTTTCCTTATTATTTATCGCTTATGTCATAACTACATAGAGAGTAAAATTCACCCATGTGCCTATCAGCAGAATGCCTATGCATGACTTAGGCCCAATTCTGAGGGCTTAAGATGGGACTTAAATGATAAGTCTTGCACTCGCCCTCTGTGCATGGGTGAATTTTATCCAGAGTGAATAGATCTATTATATGGAAGATAACTATAGTTCACATAAATTAACAAACTTAGAAGATTAACCTCATTTGCTTTTACAAAACAGAGAATGGAAAATCTATCTATATATCTTAATAAAATTGTTCAACAGAAAAGCAGCTTATTTGGTCTTGTTGGATTTTCTGCAGGTAATTTTAAAATTGTTGAATTTTCCAAAAATCTGTTCTGCAGATTTGCTGGATAATAGCAGAATAGTGATTACCAGAGGTCAGCTTGTCAGAAATTTCCCACAGTTTGCAATGAGTTTTAAAATCAAATATTTATACAATAGTATACTGTAATTGTCTGTGTGTCTCCTCCCCCAGTGTTGTGTGCCACTAATCTGTAATGGAATGTCAGACATTGTCAAGTGTATTCAGTGGTATGCCGCCTTCTAGTAGCTACATCCTACAGAGGATATAAACCCCAATAATACTACCTATGTGACTGTTTCACAGGTTATCACTAATATGGAACATTTTAAGGACCAAGTTTTCAAAGATAGTATTGTAAGGTATACTTGCAAAATATACCCACATATCTCCATTGTGCCTGAACATTTGAGAATTATGTGTATAAATGTGTATGTGAAAATGAGGTAACCCTATGCCTATTTAATTTGCAGACAAAATTGGATGATTTTCAAATGCAAGTGCAGTACTTGTAGACACAATCGGTGTGTGTAAATTTTATAGTCACAGCATCCATCTATCTACTGAAAATTGGGTCTTTGTTCAAATTCATATTAACTAATTCAAGTAGATGGACTTAATTCTTCTCTCTAAGAAGTTTAATATTAAATGCTCAATATATTGTTACTGTTCATTTGGGTGACTAGGGTAGGAAAATCAGAGCAAGTTCCTTTAATCTTTAAATCAGGATTTTTCTTTAAAATTTATTCTAAATAATTAAGACTAAGCTCAATACAATTAGGTGGTATTTTTTAAATATGTCAGACCAACTTCTAACCTAGTTCCAGCACCTTAAAACACCATGGGTGAAATAGGCCCAGAGTGTTTTGTTTGAAGGCAGATAAGACATAATGCAACTGAGAGGCAAGGTTCTGTTCTTTCCTACAGATTTGAATGGAAACTGAGGGTCATATACAACATGATCTTTTTTTAAAAAAATTGGTCACGAAAGTGTTTACTAATATCCTGTGCCATGAACATGCTAAATGTAACCATCTCATGCCAAGATATTGTTTGTATGTACTTTGTGCATTCTATACACTAGCACAGGGGAGAAGGCTAAGATCTTCCTGTATTAACTTACCTACAGTGCTCAACATGTTCCGTTTTGGACGCTGATAAATAATGGTGATTGTACATAGTGCTGGGTTTGCTTTTTCAAATTCATATGAACCATTGCAGAGGAAAAAGACATGCATGCAATGAAATTCACTCCTGTGCAGAGGTTCAGCACAATGTCTATGCCCCACGTAAGCCCTTAAGTGCATGTAAGTCAAGGGGGAAGTGAGGTATGGCTAGATTTACGGAGGTATTAAGGTACCTAAAGATGCAGAGAGGTACCTGGTGGGATTTTCAAAAGCAGTGAAGCAGGTTAGGCGCCAAATTCCCCATTGAAATCAATAAGGACTTTGCACCCTTACTCATATACGTGCTTTTTTCAATCCCACTAGGCATTTATCTGCATCTTTAGGTGCCTAAATACCTTTAGAACTCTGGGCCAATGTGAATTTGGGGGAAAATTTTACCCAGTGTGAGTTAGCTGACTGAAGCCTCATGACAAATTTTGAAAAAAATAGGCGAAGTATTCTGTTGCTTACATAGCATGTTTTTCTGAATTTGCTTCCCAATTTTTTGTGTGTGTTTGGGACATTAATATAAAAATAGGGTATGTGCTTTTAAGACCTGATTTGCTCCTGCTATTTAAGCCTCTGTTGAAAGCATAGGGCCAGCAGGCCCATGGAAGGCTGTGGTCAATTCAGTGGTGACTTAAACAGTGGTATAAATTACATAGGGGCTGCAGCTGATTGTAAAGAAGTATAATCTGCACCATTTGGCATTTAAAACCAGTATCATTTACGTGTAAAGAGAAAGAGGTTTGTAGCAGGAAATGTACCTTCCTAATAGTTGCTTTTTCTGTGACCTAATGAATTGTAATAACTAAGTTTACCCTAAATCATTAACTGGAAATAGAGATGTCTGCAAAGTTGAAATGAAACCATATGGAACTCACATGGTTCAAATGCAAACAAAAAATTCAAACTCAAAATTCAGATGACGTTCATGATAAAATTCACTAAAGCTGGTAAAACACCTGAGTGAGCCTGAATTAACCTGACCAGATTTGGGGGTTTTATATGTTAAACCATGTAAATATCTTCGTTTTGTATGACTTTGACATGAAACCAGGTGAAGCTAAGCAATTTTAATTAAGTTTCATGTCGCTTTTTGGACTAATTTGAACCTGCAAATCAAAGCAACATTTTTTCAGGGTCTAAGTAGGTTTTGTAGAAAACCCTACAGAGTGAAACTAAAGAAAATATATGCATAAACCTCTGGGAAGTGAACTACTGGCTTTTCCATGAAATTTTCTTCTTATAGTTCCCTGAACATATAGGTGGTTAGAATGGAAGTTAGAGCACAAGCTGAATTGTAGAATTAGTTTGATATAAATAGCACTAAAAGATGGGAAGCCAGATTCCCTCTCACATAAGTATGTCTAAATCCATTGAAGGCAGTAGAGTTGCATCTACTTACGCCACCAATGAATTAGACTTTGAGACTTAAACTAAATAAGCATTGCTTCATGGCACAGTTCTGGTTGAATGTGCAGCTTTAACTTAGACATCTCCAGATTTTGAGTTCTTAACTGTGCAATAATGCAAAAATATTACAATAATGTAACTTTTGCATTTAATATTTTATAATATTTGTAATGTAATTTAGGATCTGTCAGATTAAAATGTGGCATGCAAATGTAAAGGTCTCTTTTCCTGATGTGTGAAACTTCTGAGGTTAGATGCTGAAGTGAAAACAGATGTAGAAAAGTGTGATCTTTCACACTGAATAGATTGCAAATTTATAGGTAAATCTGGGTCTGCCACTGAATAATCGCCACAAACATCTCTACACCTGAAAAATAAACAGGATTTAAAATTCTGGGTGTATCACTATGCACCAAATGATCCAGAAGGTGGACATGTTCAATATGTACTTGGGCAAATGAAAATGTATCATTTCTTTGCTCTGGAAGTAGTAATAAAAAGTTTTAGCTGTAGCTAGGTTTGAAAAAATACTGAATTTGAGATGATGTGAGGGGAAGCTGCATCGAGTCAAAGCAATGTCAGTGCATGTAGTCTGCTGTTGTAGTTGCAGAGTGACTTTAAAACTTTAGTTTATTTGTCATTGCAATTAAAGTGTATATCAAATCCATAATGAAGAGACAGCACAACTTCCTTCCAACTGTGCAACTGATCACATGCAGGAAGGACTGTGTTGTATTTGAAAGGACATGAGCTGCTGTCATTTTTTCCTTCACCTTTCTGATGAGATGCCCCCACAAAGCCATTTTACGAAGTGTGAATTCAGAGCACATGTGAAAGGTGCCAAGCTGATAGTCCTGAAGAATGAAATCTTCTGTTTCCTCACCAAATAGTGAGCATGTGCCTCAGCCCTGACCTGGAGGTGAGATTGTAGCTGTAGCTCAGCCTCATCCCAGTCAGTCCTTTGCGTCTCTGTGAGACTGATAATAGGATGTCACTTTTGATGGTAGTGTAAAAAGAGTCTCTAGGGCACTTCCGTGGTGGGGCTGGGCCCCTCACCACGCCCAGTTTCCACCACAGGGTTGGCCTAGTATAGTCCCCAGTCTCTTAGGGTACATCTACATGGCATAAAAGCCCCACAGTAAAGCCGCAGCTGGCCTAGGTCAGCTGACTTGGGCTGTGGGCTAAAAATTGCTGCATAGACATTCGGGCTTGGGCTGGAGCTTGAGTTTTGGGACCTTCCACCCTCGCAGGGTCCCCTCAGCCTGAACATCTACGCAACCGTTTCTCAGCCCCACAAGCCCAAGTCAGCAGCTGACCCAGGCCAGCCACGGGTTGTTTATCCCCATGTAGACATACCCATAGCCCTGGTAGTGGCCCCGCCCTTGTGGGCCTGCTTACTTTACTTCTGGCTGGGGGGAAAGGCATTAGTTCCGATCAGCACAAACCAATCCCCTCTTGGGGTCAATAACAAGGCGAAAAAGGTCAGCGGCATCACCTTATGTCGGGGGTGCCTGGGTAGCAGCTTTACTGGAGTCCTTGTGGCTGGGTAGCTGAGTCAGCCCCTCCTTGTCGGGTTTGCCGGACTCCTCGCACAGCTGGGAGGCGTCTGGTGTGAGGGTTCCTCTGGCTGTTCCAGAAGCTCTCTAGTTGCTCCCTTCTCAGGGTTTCCCCCTTGCTGACTGCAGCTTCCCCCTTTTTAAAGCCTTCCTCCCTACCATGCAGAATTGACAGGGGCAGGGCTACTTTAGCACCCGGAGCCGCCCAAGCCCTGTCAGTGCGGGGTTTATGCACCCGTCACAGGTGGTTTTCATGATTTTGTTCAACTCGCTTTGTAGGTGCCTACAGCCACCAAACCATTTCACATAGACCCCTCAACAGCCTTTATAGAGTAGCACTTTTCCTCTCTAGTGAGCTAGTGGTCAGCTCGTGTTGTCAGTCACCTGACCATCCAGTTCCTGATCAGAAGCCCCTGAAAAACATTTATCAGCTACAGTAGGTTTGAGGCCAGCATGACTATTTCTTTGTTTTACTATAGGAGCTGCCTCTCTTTTCACGGGGACGCTCACTTTTTCATATAAGCACTGTGGCTGGATTTTTTTCAAAAAAAAAAAAATTTTTTTTTTTCATGTGAAAGCTTGTGTCTAGGTTGGATTAAAATTTTAAAATGAGCTTGATATTCTGTGTTCAGAAAGTTACGTTGCGGGTTGCATTGGTGATGACAGGTTATGGCACTCTCTCTCCTAATCATTCCCCAGAATCCTTTCCACTAACTTCTGTGCATGAAGGAAGTTACACAACAGCTGGTAGAAAGACTTCTGGGAAATCTAGGAGGAGGCAAGGCAAATATATATATTTTTTTATCCTTAAAAATTACCGTAAGGAGGGGCTATCCCAGCATTTCTTAGATGTGGCACTGTAGGCAGACACCTACATCTATCTTTTCAGGGCATACGTTATTATAGATTCCAAAAATAAATGGGTGTATGTTTGTGTGTGTGTGTGTGTGTTTTCACCGCTTTTTAATTTTTCACAGGATGACTTGCTGTCCTTGAAAGTTGTTAGTGTCCTTCACCATCTTAGCATTAAAAGAGCCATCCAGGTCCTGAGAATAAATAACTTTGAACCCAACTGTCTGCGCAGGAGGCCGTCTGATGAGGTAACAAGTTTTAAGTGAAGGCTAAATCATGGAGAGTATAATCCACTGGTTTTCCTTACAAGTGATTCTTGCTCTACCCACCCCCAGTCTTGACTGCTGCCCGTCCCTTAGTTTTTCCCTTCCTTCAACTTTCATGTTGGGCTTTACCTATCTGGGACTCTGGCCCCTTTTCTTCCCCTTACCCCAGCCTGTTGAGTCAGTTCCTCGTGTAAAATCTCCCCTCTCTCTCTTTAATTAATGACTGACTGTTTCTGGAATATATTCTGTGTTGTGCTATTTTAAGGATGGAAGTGGAATCTATTAATTGTCTTGAATTAGGTGCACAGTTCCCGGTAAAGCCTTGTTAAGTCTTTATTAAATCTGTCGTTTTTTTAATATTTACCTTCTAAAATGGGTTGAACCTTGTAATCAAATATTATCTTGGGCTACTGCTGTAGCTGTGTTTGTCTTACAGGCAGCTTGCTCTTGAGAGGGAATTATGAAACTAAGATAAGGCCACCAGAACTGTGGTTCAAGATGAATCACATTTTTCTCTAAGGGGTGCCCAGTATAGCAGTTCTTTGGGGATAATGGATTCTTACATATACTGGTATAAATTGAAGTCACTCCACTGAAGTTAACAGTGGTGTAAAACTGGTGTAAGTGACAGCAGAATCAGGCTTTTTGCATTCATGGACGTAGCTCACGTAATTTTACCGCACTTGCTGCATGAGAGATTGGGGTGGGGGAGTTAGAATGTTGACCTCCAACCAAGATAACCAATCAGCTGCATATGCATGGATCAGATCAATATTTCTTCAGAAATCTTGCAGATATATACAAATTCCAAGTTCTGAATTGGTGTCCTGGTTACAGTGAACTGTTTCAAATCACAACGCCTTGTCTAAAAGCTTCCAACAAGTTCTCATAATGTTCACAGGAGCATGAGGTAGCTTTCTTTATTCCACCCTCCAACACCAGTACCACCAGCCTGTTCAACACACATTAATAAATGATCTTGAAATACCAGACTCGAAGGTGAGGATGCTGAACAAGAGACCGCAGCCAAGGAGCATGAAGAAGAAAATCTCTTCAACTTGTCAGACACTAGGGTGCCCAGCATCTCTTATGAAAACATGGGCTGGACCCATCAAATTTAGATCTGATTTGAAATTTCCCAATATTTGTGGGAGGGGCGTGGGTTTTCTGGGATTTTGGTCTAGGTCATCTCCAGTCTGATAGTATAAAATGCCGCAAAGTACCAATAAAAAAGTAAAGTGTTATGCATTTGAGAGTGGAAGGTTGGTTAAAGTGAAGGGCAGAGAAGGAATTGAATTAAAGCTGGAACTAAGAAATCTTCATGACTGTAACTATTCCCATTTACAGAACAACATCACCCCATCAGAGGTTACTCAGTGGACCAATCACCGTGTAATGGAGTGGTTACGCTCAGTTGACCTAGCAGAATATGCACCTAATTTGAGAGGGAGTGGTGTGCATGGTGGACTTATGGTAAGGGTTTAGTGTTTCACTTATAAGAGAGCCCAGATAATATTTTAATACTATATATGGCTAAAATCAAGTGTAACTACGTGTTGCCTTGTTAGCAGTGTCTCTCTTTACTTCAGTCTGTCCAAATGGGCAGTCATCTTTAGTAAGCTTCTTGTTGTTAGGAACCTTTATAAACACTGATGTGCTGGCCATTTAGGTAACAAAGTTTCTGTACATCTAAATTTTCCCTTGCATTCTCTTTCAGATAAGGCATTCTCTACTCCTTGCCCTAAACTGTTTTATAGTGTTGTTGTGTGCTGGTAAACAGCTAGATGTGCTTCTATAGTGGGCGGGTATTTTGATTCCTGTGTATAGTTTGTGCATCAGTTTGTAAACTACTTTGGGATCGTTCTGGATTTCAGGCACTGTCATTAGTAGAAATCTTCTTCATATAGTGATATTAATCTTTGTTGGCTCAGATACCACAATCAAGAGCGCCATCTAAGTAACTAGGGTGGTAGATCAGATTTTTGTACAGAAACTGATTATAGAAAGCAGAACATTACTGTGCTGTTTGAGAAACACACCACACAGAACACTTTCACTGTATGCCTATTCACTTTCCATTATCATTGTCGTTAAGCTTAAATAAAGTTTCCAATATTAAAACCGAGATGAAAATTACACACTAGCATACCATTATCAGTTTATGACAGGATCTCTCAAGCACTCTCTCTCGCCATTCGTCCAATCAGAGTAACATTTAAAAAAAAGAAAGAAAGAAAGAGGGTGGTGGGAAAGATATTTTACCATAAATGAAGGTATATTTTAAACACAAGGGTGGGTCAGTCTTACTTTCCCTTGTTTACTGGTTTATTACCACTGAGAACTCTGCAAAACCACAGGAATAAGCCTTTCTAAACCCAACAGATGTTAACTGGAGTAAGTGGGTGAGGTTCTGTGGCCTGCATTGTGCAGGAGGTCAGACTAGATGATCATGATGGTCCCTTCTGACCTTAAAGTCTATGAGTCTAACTCTTTTCTTCTCTTTTATAGTGCATTTCCCCTAAAAATGGCCTATGCAACCCAAAAAATGCCCATAAAGTCTGGCATGGCTGCTGGCATCCTCAAGACCTAATCCAAGGGTATTGATTGATTTCAGTTTGACTTTCTGTGGTTTGTTTCATAGGTCTTGGAACCTCGTTTTAATGTGGAAACCATGGCACAGTTGCTGAACATCCCACCAAACAAGACACTGCTGAGACGCCATTTGGCAACCCATTTCAATTTACTGGTTGGTCAGGATGCCCAACATCAAAAGCGTGAAGCCATGGAATCGCCAGACTATGTCCTTTTAACTGCTACTGCCAAAGTGAAGGTAGGTCAATGCTTTGGGTGTGGGTGTGGGTGAGAGGGATAGCTCAGTGGTTTGAGCAGTGGCCTGCTAAACCCAGGGTTGGGAGTTCAATCCTTGAGGGGGCCACTTAGGGATCTGGGGTAAAATCAGTACTTGGTCCTGCTAGTGAAGGCAGGGAGCTGGACTCGATGACCTTTCAAGGTCCCTTCCAGTTCTAGGAGATGGGATATCTCCATTAATTTATTAAAAAAAAAAAAAGCAGCAGTTAAATTGCCACTTTGCCAGACGTGGTGGTTTTACAAGCATTCAGGGTGCTGTTTGCTGACGCTCTGTGGGGCAGAAGGGAGGAAAGCTAACTCAGTTAGTAGAGCATCACACTTCTAATCTGACAGCCCAAGATTCAAGTTCCTGCTCAATCCAAGTGCTTTTTAGAGTGGGAGGATGATCAGTGGTGAAGATGCTAGACTGAGTTAGGAGATCTGTAGGACCCTACCAGATTCACAGCTGTGAAAAACACATCCCTGACCGTGATATCTGGTCTCTCTTGTGAAATTTGATCTTTTGTGTAGTTACCCTCTACTATACAGATTTCACCAAGCAGACCAGCGTTTCTCAAACTGGGGGTCCTGCCCCAAAAGGGGGTCACAGGGAACCGCAAGGTTATTTTAGGGGGGTCGTGCTATTACCACCTTTACTTCTGTGCTGCCTTCAGAGCTGGGTGTACAGAGAGTGGCAGCTGTTGGCCGGGCGCCCAGCTTTGAAGGCAGCGCCCCACCAACAGCAGCACAGAAGTAAGGGTGGCTGCGTGGCAATACCATACCATGCCATCCTTACTTCTGTGCTGCTGCTGGCGGCAGCGCTGCCTTCAGAGCTGGGCTCCCGGTCAGCAGCCATCGCTCTCCACCTGCCCAGCTCTGAAGGCAGCAGCACCACCACCAGCAGCGCAGGAGTAAGGATGGCAATATCACGGACCCCCCCCCCCCCCCCCCCCCCCAAACACCCTTTGACACCCCCTCCCCCCCCCCCCCCCCATCACCTTTTGGTCAGGCCCCCTACAGTTACACCACCATGAAATTTCAGATTTAAATATCTGAAACCATGAAATTTTAAAATCCTATGGCTGTGAAATTGACCAAAATGGACTCTGAATTTGGTAGGGCCCTAGAGATCTAGAATCAGTTCCTGGATCTGCCACAGGCTTTGTGTGTGACCTTGTGTGATGTCTCTGTGCTTTAGTTTCCCAGTGGTAAATGAAGATAATGCTTCCTTTCTTCTGCCTTTTGCCCTGTCCCTTTATATTTGTAAATTGTTTGGGATAGAGACAGTCTCTTACTCTGTGCGTGTTCAGTATTTAACACAATGAGACCCTGTGAATCTCTAGGTGCTACTGTTACACAAATAAGAAGAAGAATGAGGACCTGTTTCTTCCTGGTTTTGGTTGTAGTGAAATTTGAAATATTCAGGCTAACGTGTTTAGGATCTGAGCCTCTATTATTTGCTTGCAGTTAAATACCTGATGGAAGAATAAAAGCTTAATTAAATCCAGGCTGAGTAAATTACCGACTTCCTGATTTTATGACCGTTTTTTCCAACTTTTTAAGCCAAAAAAGCTTGCCTTCAGCAATTTTGGAAGTCTGAGAAAGAAGAAGCAGGATGATGTGGAAGAGTATGTGTGCCCAATGGAACTGGGACAGGCATCTGGAAGTGGATCTAAGAAAGGATTTAAGGCTGGCTTGGATATCCGAGTGTATGACGATGACGATTTGGATAGACTGGAGCAGGTGAACCAGCTTTTGCTGTTTACATTTGGTGATGGCGCTGTTGGGTTTGAATGGCATACCCAGTGTTGTTTACCTAGGCTTGTTTAACTCCTTGTCACCAGCAGTCATGGAACACCATAGTACTGCCAAAAAATATGCTTCCTGACACAAGTCCAAAGGAACTACTTATGCACAGAATTTGGACCTTAATTCGGCACAAGTAAGCTATTCCACAACGCCAAAACTTACTCCCCCACAATTGGCATAATGTAGAATGTTTGTTGTTTAATGCACTTACTGAATCACCACCACAGATGAGTATAAATTATTTTTTCCCTGTGACCTGTTTCTTGTAGATGGAAGATTCAGAAGGGACAGTGAGGCAAATAGGAGCATTCTCTGAAGGCATCAACAACTTGACAGTAAGCCTTAAGATACTGCCAGTAGAACTAAAGCGTCCATGTTTTGAATATGGCCCAAAACCTTAAACAGCCTCCTGTACTAAGAAATGTCCCAAAGTATTGCCAAGCACAACTCTGCTTCACTCTTCTTAGCAGACCATCTGTGTTCGGGAGCTGATTTTTTTTTCAGTCCCTTGGGTGGTTGCTTTGGGCAGGTTTCAGTCTATTGCAGAACTTGGTGAAAGTTAGTTTTTATATTGTGAAACTCCATCTAGCCTTAAGTAGACTGAAAGTCCAGAATTATTGTGCAAATCGGAGTTCTGCTTATATTTAAAGCTAAGATTTTGTCATGGTTATTTTTAGTAAAAGTCATGGACAGGTCATGGGCAATAAACAAAAATTCACAGGAGCTGTGACCTGTCTGCGACTTTACTAAAAATAACCGGGGGAGGTGGGGTCAGGGCTAAGAAGGGGTGGAGGAATGACAGCTGGAGTCCCAGGGGGGGAGGGACTGACAGGCTGAGCCCCCCTGCCATGGGAGGGGGGACACAGGCCCAGCTCCGGCAGCCACAGCAGGGGTGCGCAGCCTCAGGGGGGCACGCAGCCTCCACTCCAGAACTGGCTGCAGGGCAGGGGCACAGAGTCCTGGCTCCAACCCCAGCCACAGCTGCACAGCCCGGCCACAGGGGGAGGGGAGAGGGGCATACGGCCCTGGGAAGCCGCGAGGGGTCCCACCTCCAGCCCCGGCTTCATCCGCTGACAGCTGAAGCCGAAGAAGTCACGGAGGTCCGGTAAAGTCACGAAATCCACGACTGCTGTGACCTCCATGACTAAATCGTAGCCTTAGTTATAGTGAACCTCCACAAAGAATCTCCCATGCGTGGTTTGGTTTCGGTTGGTTTTCTGTAAAGTCCTGGGCTCCAACCTGAACCCAAATCTGGTCTTTTTGCACCTCACTGCCAAGGGGCTAGACAACAGCCAGATACCATAGCTGAAGGTTCCCTGGTGGGGAGGAGTCCCCTGTGTGTGTAGAGCCTCCAGTAGCTGACTGCTGCATCACCACTGGTGTAGGGGTAATCCTGCTGGGGAAGAAGGGTGTGGCCACTATGCTCAGGCAATCGTTGGCTGGTCAATGGCCCTTTATGGGCAGAGGCAGCCAGGCATACTGTAGAGCAATCCTGGGACTGCTCTACGTTATGCCAAGGACCAAAACAGCTCCAGGATCAGGGAGCTGCAAATGATTCTCTACTGTCATCTCCACCCAGCATACACTGGATGCAGAAGAGGACTGAGGTGAATTACTTCACCATAGAGGTTTCACTACAGTTGCACTGCATTTTATTTTCCTGAGACTACACAATTCTGAGTTCTTAATTTTGTCAGAGTCAGTGTTAATTCTTCCTTTGTTTCCTTTGCAGCACATGTTAAAAGAAGACGAAATGTTTAAAGACTTTGCTACTTGCTCTCCTAGCGCCAGTATAACAGATGAAGATTCAAATGTGTGACAGTAACTGCCGAATACCAATAAAGAATTCAATTTCGTATATGCTAGGAACATCATCGTTATATGTGATGGGCAGCAGATCATGTACATTACATTGCTCTTGCTTCTGTTTGTTAGAAGTGATATTTTTGGGTGGATAAGGAGAAAAGGTGCCTATTCTAAAGTTGCCATAAAAGATAAACCAACCAGACACTGGTGAGTGGTAGTATAATTGTTTTTACTATATTTAATGTACAAACCTGTGACATATATTCCAAAGTATTGCATTTACAATTTGCTACCATAATGCTCTTTATGTTTATTCATGTAGTGAAATGTACTGTTTCAAAATAATATGAAACATGTAACTTGTAAATAACCTGCGTCCGCATTCAGTGTGGCTTTCAGCTGAAAAAAAGATATCACTGGTGTCCTATTTTAATAGATATGTCCAAAGTAAATACCAGTTATTTCTTTTGGTATCCAGGTCCCACTGCCCTACACAAAACTCAAGGTAACTCTTGACTGTTGCTGTCTTATTTTTATACTGTTTTATATAAAAAAAATTATATGAAGTGCATGTAAAGCAGAAATTTTATTTTGTGACATAAAGTGGTGAAAGGTTCAATTGTTTTTTTAAAGGGATGATCCCAGTTTGCAAACCAGCTGGTTACTGGAAAAGTCGTACTGACCTTTGAACTGTTTGCTTCCTTTCATTTTTAATTTTTGCTAAGTGTTGTCAACATTTTTAGGTTTGGGATGAAGCTATTGTGAAATGTAGATCTGCTTGCATCACATTTCTAAATCTGTAATATCTGAAATTTCTCTACTTTTCTTTTTTCCTCCAGCAGCAGCTATTAACATTAAAATAAGGTTTTAATGGTTTTAAAAATATTCTGGAAAATTCACAGCTTGAAATTGAGGAATGCTCAGTGTGGAGAAGGATATTTGTGTTGTGTTTCCAATAGGATGGCTTGTATAGTTGCAAAAGTTATGTAGAGAAACATATAGGAAATGTATAATTTCCCAGCATTAAACCTAAGGTAGGGTTTTGCCTCAAGAATAAGTCCAATACCAAAACACATGTTGCCTAATACTTATGCCTCTGTAAAGCACAACTCCTTTCTGCTTTGAAATAATCAGGTTTCTAAAATTCTAACTAGCCAGTGAAAATCTTTTGTTGGACGTTCTATAGAACATGATAGTTCTTACCAAAAAATGCTAGCTCTTTGTCTGTTAAAATGATGATTGTTAAGGTGTTGAATGTTGCATGTATTGTAGCACAATGGCATGATGCTTCATTATTTGTGAAGAAAAACTACAGCTAGATTAATTACCTTACCGTGTTGTGTGCTTTAACAGACGGGTTTTATCATGCTTTTCATCATAGTTCTTGTTACAAGCATTGGGAAGGAGCTGTTCTAGACAAGTTGCTTATTACAGTCTAAACAATGTTAGATTTATGGCAATTTCAGTACATCTGATGTATTGTTACAGAAGTTGGGAAGGCAACAGAGATGTTATCAAGATTTTTAATGTGGGCTTCTACAAGTTGCTGGGAGGGATTTGAGACTTTTTCTGATGTTTAGCAGTATAACCGTATACACTGTTACCAATCTGTTTTTTTAAAGGATGGACAGCCTAGGTTTATATTTATTTATAACTACAATAAATTCAATAGAACCAATTACATTATGCATTACATTGAACTCTGCCATTCGTTCCTTACTAACTAGAGAAGGCAAATAATTCATAATGAATTATTTATTCATTATTCAAAATTATTGACGGAATAATTTCTGCAAATAATTCTTGGTCAATAGCAGGGGTTCTCAAACTGGGGGTCGGGACCCCTTAGGGGGTCGTGAGGGTATTACATGGGGGGGTCGCGAGCTGTCAGCGTCCACGCCAAACCGTGCTTTGCCTCCAGCATTTATAATGGTGTTAAATATAAATGTTTTTAATGTATAAGGGGGTCGCACTCAGAAGTTTGCTATGTGAAAAAGGGATCACCAGTAAAAACCGTTTGAGAGCCACTGGCCTATAGCTTGTTCATCAGCAATTTCTTGTGATGATTTTATATCTGAGCTATTTTGATTGGACAGGTAGGTCACATGGTAAGTGTCTGTTCCCTGACTGGCTAAGTGTAACACTTGGAATAAGGTCTCCAGTGTGAATACTTGTAAATTTGAAGTTTGCTTTCTGTGAATATCTGCAGTATAATTACTATTTGTTTTGAAGTAGTGCCGAACCAAGGATCCGGGTCCTGTTGTGCTAGGCACTGCACAAACACAAGAAGACATGGGCCCCTGCCCTTAGGAACCAATAGTTGCTTAAAATTCACTTGTTTGCAAACTCTTTTGGAAGTGACCACAACAGTTAAAATATTCACAGAAAAAGATCCCAAGGGGATTATAAACATAAATATTGAAACAAATATTCACAGAAAGCTGTTTTTTTTCCCCCATCCAGCCCTATCAATAAGCCTATTTGAGAGCTTTAGATGTTCATTTGCTTTTAATTTAATGTAAACAGAGGTCTATTCAAAATCATTCTTTTCAGCAGTTTACTGGTTGGAAAAAGGCCATCCTATCCAAGCTACCTATCATCTGAACTTTGATTATTTTATGGAGAGAGTAATATAAATGCTAAAATAAAGTCAGGAAGTTAAAACAAACATACACTTCTTATGATATTTTACATTTTGTGTGTAAAGAGGGCAACATAAACTAATATGTATTGCTGTGTAAAAGCAAATAAAGTCTGTTGGAAAATACCAAATATTTCTGGGCTTCTGCATTTTTAAAATAATATCTCAATTGTCTATCTGTCTTTATAGTTTCAATTGACCTTAGAATACTTTTCAAACTAATTTTCTGGAAAGTTATGTTCTTGTCATTTAAAAAAAAAAAAAAGCCAAGCAGAATTCCAGTGGTAGTATGTTTATTCATCCATCCATTTATAAAGTTAGGGAGACAGATACCACATAACTTGCAGTGATTGGAAAAATATTTTCTGTGTGTAATTTAGATGTACATCTCTTCAAATCTTGAAACGAATATGATCCTGAGAGATGGGGAGGAATACTTGAAAGGGTATCTGCAAAGCTTTTTGAAGCAAATTAAGCAAAACCTCTTCTATTTCCAAATCAGTAAAAGATCGTGTCCTCAGATTAGGGAAATGCTCTGCTTTGTGTTATGTCCTCTGAAGAGGAGCCACCCAAAATTGTTGGCAAGCAAATAAGAACTGATTTCCAGGCTTTTTAAACGTCTCTTGTAATTTCTGAGTCTCTGCAGGCCCCTGATTCTGCTACTGATTGGCATATTAAACAGTTTAGTTCTTTTAATCATAAAAAATTAGACAGTGGGGACAGTTGAAGATTAGGGAATCATCTGCTTGGAGGTGAATAATTGAATCTGTGGGTGCAGATTTGTTTCCGTAAAGAGAAAGCACAGAAGAGAGAGATGAGACCACAAAAAGAAATGTTAGGCCTGCCAACAAATAAGGAGAGAAAGAAGATTGAGTGGGGGGGTCACTGAAGCACTGGCCAACATGGAAGGAGAACTGGGAGCTTCAAAACACTAACATAGAAAGGAAGAGAAATTAATCAGTGATATTAAAGGTTACAGCTAGATTAAAAAGAGCAAGAACGGAGATGTGCCCCTTAATCTTAGCTCTGAAGAAGTTGTTAGTGACCTTCATGAGGGCAGTTTTTGTGGAGTGGAGAGGGGCTGAAGTAGCTCAGGACGAGATTAGAGGAGAAGAAGCCTAACCAGTAGAGAGTAGATAACATGCACAAGGATGTGCAAGAGAGAGGGGAGGAGAAAGATAAGTAGTTGGTAAGGCCTGTGCATTTGACATAGGATTTTTTTTAGGTTGAGGGAAGAAACACAAGCATGCCTGTAGGCTGGTGGAAAACAGCCAGAGGGCAAGGAGTGCGAGGATGGGAAGTAAGATGAGATGGTTGAGAGATTAAAGGCAGAGAGTAGAGGGAAGATCTCCACATCAATGACTGCTGTCAAAGAAGGAAAGGAGGAATGGAGATGAGAAGGAATAAAGTTCTTACAGGACAGTGTTAATTTTATTTTTGGAAATATTGATGAGATCCTGGGCAGAGGAAGTGGTTTTATTGAAGAATTGAGATTTGGAAGTAGCAGAACTAAAACTGGCCTGGGTTCATCCATGCAAATGCTATGAAGATGGCATGCATCTGACCATCATGTTTAGCGAATCCAAGAAGAGAGAGGAGGGGGATGGATTTTGTAAGACTGGAAAAGCTTGTTTATATTAACTGTGTTATATATTCATAAAAGGTGCTGTATTGAACAGCCCTAGTGTCTGGGGTTCTGCAGAAAAGGACCTAGGGGTTACAGTGGACGAGAAGCTGGATATAAGTCAACAGTGTGCCCTTGTTGCCAAGAAGGCTAATGGCATTTTCGGCTGTATAAGTAGGGGCATTGCCAGCAGATCGAGGGACGTGATCAATCCCCTCTATTCGACATTGGTGAGGCCTCATCTGGAATACTGTGTCCAGTTTTGGGCCCCACACTACAAGAAGGAGGTGGGAAAATTGGAAAGAGTCCAGTGGAGGGCAACAAAAATTATTAGGGGGGTGGAGCACATGACTTATGAGGAGAGGCTGAGGGAACTGGGACTGTTTAGTCTGCAGAAGAGAAGAATGAGGGGGGATTTGATAGCTGCTTTCAACTACCTGAAAGTGGGTTCCAAAGAGGATGGATCTAGACTGTTCTCAGTGGTACCAGATGACAGAACAAGGAGTAATGGTCTCAAGTTGCAGTGGGGGAGGTTTAGGTTGGGTATTAGGAAAAACTTTTTCAGTAGGAGGGTGGTGAAGCACTGGAATGGGTTACCTAGGGAGGTGGTAGAATCTCCTTCCTTAAAGGTTTTTAAGGTCAGGCTTGACAAAGCCCTGGCTGGGATGATTTAGTTGGGGATTGGTCCTGCTTTGAGCAGGGGGTTGGACTAGATGACCTCCTGAGGTCCCTTCCCACCCTGATTTTCTATGATCCTAAGTCTAGGGCAACACAGGCAGGCAGGAACAGCGTAAGCTTCCCCACTTTGTCATGCCAATGTGCCCCCATCCCTGACTTGCAAGGCATTTCTCTGGGGCAAGTGGATAACTTAGCTTCCATTCTTCCCTTGTCCTTTCTCCTGGGTTCTAGTTATTGCTAGCAAATTTTGCAAAATGGACAAGCGTCCACTAAGAATGCACCTGAGACCACCCGCTCATTTCACACAGCCCACTGAAAAGCTGTCAGATGGCAATGAAGTTTGGTCTCTGCTGTCCTGAGCTGAATTTGAACCAGTGTTTTCAAAGTGAAAGGCTCCATATTCCCATGAACCACCCAGCCTCCCTAGAACAGCTTCTTTGTAGTGGCTTTAAAAACAGAAAAGGATAAGGTAAGTTAAACAACCAGTGCTGGAATTAACGATAAAGGTGTAAAGTCTGAGTAACGCACACCGAAGAACTGATACTTTGTGTGAAAGCTACCCAGCCTGTTCAGCTGGTTTCTGGTATTGAGCTGGATGAGAGCACGCCCAGAAAAATGTGTATCTGCCTTTCCGGAACTGTGACCCGTTTGCACAGCATAGCTCTGCTATTGGTGTGACTTTTTTCTGGAAAGCAGTGGGTGAACATTGTGCATATTTAAAGGCATGACTTAACCCAGTGACCGTGCAGCTTTCACTGAGAGGAAAAAGAAGCTATCCCAGAGCATTCTGCATGTGGGAATATCTTTTTTGCAGAGAAAATGGGCCAGAAATTATCACAGGAACCTAACGAGAAGAACAAGGCTGACATTCTCATTATAAACGAGGTGTTCAGCCAAGGAGTGGTCCATGCATCTCAAAAGCTGAAAGAATACCTTGGATTTGAAGATTCTCAGAGCAAATTCCGCCCAGCCATGGATACTTTAAATGAGATCTTTTTGGTTAACTTCATCAGTTTCTGTATTGAAAAAGGAGTGGAGGAGCGTATCACGACCAGCAAGATGACGAAGCAACAGTCTTTGCTGCTTGGGGTCGACTGGATCTGGACTTTATCAGGAGCCGACAAACAAATCAATCTTCAGATCGCCGTGCAGTCTTTGCAGATGGCTGAGCTCCTCCATGATGAAACTGGGCCCAGCAAGGAAGCCACGTTAGCAGACCAGCCTTTCAAAAACAAAAGCAGGTTTGAGAAGCTTGAAGAGTTCTGCACGCTGGTGGGACAAGACTGCCTGGGCCTCTTTATAATGTTTGGAGTGCCAGGGAAGCCTAAGGATATCAGAGGAGTCATGCTAGACAGCATCAACAAGGAGAAACGAAAAAATCACCTGTCAGGCGAGAATGCTCTAAGGCAGTTCGTCTTGAACACTGACAGCTTCCTCTCCACAAAAGAAATGCTTGAAAACTGCCTCTGTAAGAAAAATGGGCTCAAGGAGGTGGGCAAGGTGTACATTAACTTTCTTTAAACTCCTGGTTAATGGTAAAAGGGCTGTGAACCCAATCACCAAAGAATATCCAGTACTGGTCTTTCGATCATCTGCATTTCTTTCTCACGCACACACTATCGAACATAGTTACTTAGTCCAGGCAGTTGATTTTTATAGGACCCAAGATGATTAACTCTCTCTAATTTTTAAATCAACACTATATGCATTCCAGAAAATGTGTTTGTGCCAGAGGCTTAATTT